AACCATCTGCAAAGCAGTCTGCAGCCCTAATGGCACGAACTTAGCAAGTGCGTTGTGGAGTGGCCCATGTGGACATTTCCCATTTGGGATGAAAATACGAAAATACAGGGTGCTTCAAAAACATGTTAACACTTCCGAGAATTTGTAACAATAGTACAATAAATGTGCCTCCGGGCTCTGGAGACCACCTGGAGAAGATTCCAGGTGTGTATTGACAATGATGGCGAACAACTGGAGATTCTGACTTGTTGAAGCTATACATTTGTTATCATGTTACAGTGTGTTATCCGTTCTTTGTCTATTAAAAACGATAGTCACATATAAGTGTTAACATGTTTTTGAAGCATCCCGTACTAATAAAGCTGTGCCACGTTGGCAAGCACATGGCCACAGCAACGAGACAACATGGATTAGACAATCCCCGGGAGTGCTCTCGTGAAAGTCTGCAAAATACTAATTACAGAATTTCTTTTGAAGCCACAGGGTGTGGTTGTATGAATTCTAATAGGAAATAAAAAATATATAAATAGTTGGGGTTCACGGTCCGGGTTAGATCTACTGATTGACCACATCAATGCCAAACTCCCGTTAATAAGATGAACCGAACATCCAATTGCAAGACCATAAGAATCAGCGCAAAGTCGTTCCTAGACATAGAGTGCGATTTCGCTCTCCGATGTGTTGTGCGTTGTACCACACGTTGCTCCGCATGGTATCCAAATTCAGTTCCTGAAGAAGCTCCCGAAATATGGAGCTTAACGCCAGACATCACGCCAAACAACACGCAGTAGAACCCGAATATATATGTCGGAGAGCTTCACAGCACAGCCGTGAATACCTACGCAACAAGGGCATTTTCATCACAAATTTTCACATTCATCTTGCACCCATCACAGAGGATGGAACTCGACCCGTTACTGTCACGTGAGGTCATCTGTTGAAGGATGCCAGTAAGACATCGGCTCAAAGATAGATTCATATGCACGAGGACACCATTTATTTTCTCGGTGCTTTAAGGTTCTTTATTTAGTAGCTTTTAAGTGTATTCTTTGATAGCAGTTTACTTGCAGGATATGTATCGCACAATTAGAGTGCACAGTGACCACTGATGCCTCCACAACCTGCACTCGCCTCTCTACTGTGAGATGGCCAGGAGATGGCAGTACAGCGAGGAATTGAAGCCGTCTGTGTAGAGCGTCGAGTGTTATTTCTTGATATGTGTACGATTCCTGTCTGGATTCCTGTCTGCCTGGTTGGTGCACCAAGTGAGCGCGTGCAGTAGGGACGTCACCGGGCTCGTCTGCGCGATGACGCCACTCACAACCCACCGCATTGAGCCGGGTTCGTGCGGGCTGACGACCCCCTCCGTCCTGCACCCCAGCTGTGTATCCCACGCATATGCAACAGAGGAGAGAGATAGAGACCGGAGGACGAGAACGGAGAACAACGGAGGGGAGAAGGTAGAAGGTGAAAGAGTGTGGAATGGAGAGGAAAGGGGGAGCAGAGCGGAACGAGTGAGGGCAGCAATACGCAGTGGGAGAGAGGATTAGGGAGAGGCAGAGCTCGAGACGAAACAAATGGAGAAGTGGGAATAAGGTGTGCGAGGGTGAGAGACGAGAGAGTGAAACGGGAAAAGAGATGGGGGGGGGGGGGGGGGGTAAGACGTAGTGGAGGACCTGGGAGGAATGTACAGAGAGGTGGAAGAGCGGGATAGAGAAACAGATAAAAACAGAGCGAGACATCGATATAAATTGGGATATACAGTACAGATAAGACAAGAGAAAGGTGGAGAGAGACAGGGCACTATGTAAGGTTAAATGTTTTGCCGGTTGATTGGTTGGCTGGGCGGGCGGTCACGTCCAAAGCACGCCTAGGTTGCTAGTTACCATTAAATACAATCCATCACGAAAGCACATACAGGGTTTTGTACAACGTGGTCGTACTTCGTTCAACGGACCTCACAGTGGTTTCAGAGAGCTCTTGTCTGCAACATTTGGAAACCCACCCAGCATCATTATTGTTTTTACCGGTCACGCTGCAGATGAAACTCATAAAAGTAGATTTCAGCCAAGGGTTCTCCCCTCTAAAACAAATGTTGCTGAAAATGTAAAACAAAAATCTAGAAGTCACATAGCCTGACGTTCATATAAAATGACGGCTTATAATTTGTACACGGTGAAACAATCTTATTTATCATTGCATTATCTTACTGCCCACACTCCACCACTTACAAAGCGTAATGCATTTTTTTCGCTCTCGATATTTAAACATAGTGATTTACCAAACGTATACTATAATGACTCAATCTGAATTCAGGGCGGCGAGCAGTTGCGAAAACCACAGCCAGTGAAATAAGTCTGCTTCAATATTCATTATCACGGACTTTGGTGGAATTCCGTGAAAGTGAGCGAATTGCGCCCTCTGCAGAACCTATTGAGGGATGATCAACAGTGGCTCCTTGAGAGAGAGCGCGTTTGCAACGCGTGCGCATTTCCCCATGCCATTTTCACGCGACTCTGTCCTTTGAGTGTTGACATAGACAACGCAAACTCGTCTGTACCCCGTGCTACGAAATAACCAAGCGAAGCAATTTTCCCCCTGCTATTTCAACAGCCACAACTCGTGGGTTGCTTTGAAGTTCACGTTGCTTTGGCAATTGTGCGTTTAGAAATAATAAGGCTTCATATAATCACGAGGTACATTTCGAAGTCGTTTTGTAGTTGTTGTTGTACCATCTGCGGTGGAGTCGGCGGTACATTAGAGTGGATAGCTCGGGTCAAACGGTAAGCGGTGGCGCGGTGGTTTTCGCACTTCCAGTCTGAAACTGGGCGACTTGCGTGCAGTTTCATTCGGCTAACATCGGTGGCGAGTGGAATCTGAACTGTTCTTGAGCCCCCCCCCCCAAACCAACTCGCATTACACCAACCTGCCCTGACCAGCGTGAAGGATGGTCAAAGCAAGCCCCGTGGGGGCCAATACGATGTGGGAAGGCCTTCGTTCAGAAGTGGATTGACAAACGGCTGTAGATTAGTATAATTATGTTTAATTGTAATTGGACCCTGTAGGATAAACGGAGCATCAATGTAAGCGCGTGATCATGGAATGGTTTATAATGGAATGGTTTGAGACAAAATCTAAACCGCAGGACAAACATCAACAGCTCCCACATGCACACAACGTTCCATTGTCGTGCCGTATACATTAAACACGAGCTCACGCCTAGTTAAACATTCCAGTTGTTGTAAAGTGTAATGCATTGTAAAAAAAAAACACACAACGCTTGTATGCACCGGTAGCGTGTCAGACATTTGCCATGCTGCTCATATAGTCCTGAGCCGCCCACTGGCTCACTCACCAACCAACATTGGCACGTCAATGCAAACACGTTGCTGATTAAACTCCTCGTCTTACGGACGGAGAAAGTGGTCGCGTGGAAATTTTACGGTGGGATTTTCAGGGGTGTGTGTGTGTTTTTGTTACGTTGTGTTTTTTTTTTTCATGAACATCGAGTGCCGGCGATGTCTTGTCGCTTACAATATTTTCAATTGCTCCACCTTTTGTCAAGCGAACGCGAAATCTGAGCCATAGATAGATCTAGACACGACCTACGGAGGAGGGCTTTCCGAATATGTCAACTAAAATAAAAATGAGGGGCTTACATTAAAACAAATTAAATGTGTATGTAAAATATAAATAAAGTATAAATTGTCGGCTTCTCATTGGGACTGACGGGGCTCAATCGACCCCAACGCCCACCCACCACCCCGGTTGGATTCGTCACTGAACTGAGCTGCGGTGAGACCTCTGGTTACAGAAGCAAAGTAAGTAACAACTACGAGAGACAGTGCACCTGAAAATCACACACACACACACAAGTCACATTGAACGAAACACTTTAATTGTGTGAGATCAAGTTAATACATTTCAACGTGAGCAAAAAACGCATTTCCACAAATCAAAAACGTGATCAAGATGGTAACCACATTAAAAGGCAATGGCAAAACGCATTTACATTCATATTACACAAGTCATGAATCCAGTTTACCCACGACAAGCGATTGAGAGGGCACAGTCAAAGTCAGCGAGCAGAAGCAATGTTCCAGTTTCACGGAATGTCGAGAGATTTTCCAACTATATCCGAGTATGAACTGTCGGCACATCACATTTGGCTACATATATTTATTCTGACTGAAGGAACGTGCACAGCATGTTCGAGAAGTTTGTACAAGCGTGTCCTTGCAAATGTCGAGAGGGCTTAGGCAAAGCTAACAAAGAAAAATATCCCCCGTTTAGCCTTAACAGACTGTAGGGGCAAGTGCTGTTAGCGAGCACCTATGAAGGCCGGAACGGTACACGAGGGGGTGGGTGGCCAGCACCACGCCCGACCGCCTTTGTCTCCCCAGTGTTTACACACAGCACCGGGTACTCATTTGAGGCTGAGTCGACCTAGGGGAAGCCCAGGGCCGGTTCAGATAATCGTCATTGGTGTTGGCCGTGAGCGGGAATCGAACCCGTGTCGCCAGGTTCATAGCGCAGCGCGCTAACCACTACACCAACACACACAAACACGTGCGCTCACAAAGCCCTGCATGCGCCTACCAAGATGCCACGCCCGGCCGTATTTGTCTCTCCCTCCGATGCTCATCTTTGCACACACCGCAACAAGAAGTACATTTTAGGAGGAACGAATCGAGGGGGATCAGTTCAGATCTCAATAGCCACTGATGTTAGCCGTGAACGGGAATCGAACCTAGGTCGCCGATTTCGGTCGCGCAACGCGCTGATCACACACTACACGCCACCGTTCCACACCTCTAACCTACAAAGTGCACACGCCACCTTATGCGAACACGACTGCCCAGTGCGCAAATCGGGTTCCAGAGGTATGCGACCCACAAGCGTCGTAAACGCACCAACATGAGGTCCACGACCCCGCGGAGCGAAGGCGCGACTGATTTCAGCCAGTGGGGCGGGCGGGCGGGGGGGGTGTGATGCTTTCTTGTCGGTGATGGTGACACCCACGCACATAGGCAGGCAAACCACACTCGGCACCTGCTGCCTGAGAAGCGTCGCAAGTGTACCTCTCGGCGGGCATGGAGATGACATCCGACAACGCCAATGGAGAGGCGACGTCGGTCGGCGTGGACAACGAAGCCTACGTGGCCGAATACGAAAATGTAGGCAGACACAGAAAGCCGGGCGAGGAGGAGGAGGATGATGAGGACGTGGACGGCAAGGTACAACAAGCGAGGCGCGCACTTGTGTCGTCTGAACGCCAGCGGTGCTTTGGACTTTGCTTGCTCTTTTCCCGCTTGCAGTACTTTTTTTTAATCTCTCGTTTTCCTAAGTTTAAAAGTTTTTTTTTTCTGCTTGAATGCTGCGCCTCGGTCTAATGGTTTAGCAACGCTGGAATTTGCAACCTTCTGGCGAGGCAGTTGTAACGATGGACAATGTTTAAGCATCCTCTGTCACCCCCCCCCCCCTCCAAAGGTATAATTGTGTTACAACCCACAGCGAAGTTGATCGGCAGGCCACGTGAGGTGGAGTAAAGTGTGGGTACTCCCACCTCCGTCAAGACGGCTTGGCAGTGGCGTGGAAGAGTAGGCCAAAATAACCACGAAAGTGGCATGATAAATGAATTCCTAGGTTGCATCTTTGCCCTTTTTTTTAGCTTCAATACGTTTTCATAACTGTTTTTTTTTAGTTAGGAAAACGTTTACAGGTAGGAAAAAGTTTCGATCTGGATAATGTACGGGGCTAGTTGAACTACATTTGTACACTTGGTCCCAAAATGTGTGGGTTCATATGATGTAAGTGGTGTTAAGCGCACTGCGCTACAAACCGGGCGACCCCAGTTCGGTCTCCGCTCATGACCAATAAGTGGCGAATATTTGAACCGGTCTTGGATTTCCCCTGCGTCGACTCAGCCTTAAACGAGTACCTGGTGCGGTGTGTATACATCATTGGGGAGACAAAGGCGGCCGGGCGTGGTGTCCACCACCCACCACATCGTGGGCAGTGCTGGCTTTCATAGGTGCTCGCAAAGAGCACTGGCCCCTAACAGTCTGTTAAAGTCATTACGGGGCATCTCTGTCTCTGTTTGGTATTATAACCAAACGAATAAACACGAGTGTTATGCTTTGAATGGGACTTCACAAGACTAAACATTAACGCTGGTGTTTGGGTGCAATACCAGTGTCATTGTTGACATATCCTACAAGTTGGCGAGCCACACTTCCGGTGAGCATGGATGGCTACGTACGAGGCGAAATAAGTTCAACATACATACGCACAAACACTTGGTTATGATCAAATACGTGCATTTGCGTGTGTGTGGGGGGGAGCGGTAGTGCAGTGGTTAGCGCGCTGCGCTACGAACCCGGCGATCCGATTCCCACTCACGGCCAACACCAGTGACAATTTTCTGAACCGGTCCTGGGCCTCCCCTAGATCGACACAGCCTTAAATGAGTAATCGGTGCGGTGTGTAAACATCGCCACTGGGGAGACAAAGGCGGTCTGGGCGAGGTGTTGGCCACCCACCCCCCCTTCGTGTGCCGTGCCGGCCTTTTAAAATGTGATCGCTAACAGCACTTGCCCCTTACCGTCTGTTAAGGCTATACGGGGGATCTGTGTCTTTGTCCATTTGCGTGACGTTTGTTTTGGGTAGGGACATGTATCCGTGCACGTAAAAGACACCGACGACGACGAAGAATATGTCGCCACTGCAGCCTGGGCAAGGTGGGAGTCTTGCACGCACGAATCTCCGACGCCGCAGCATGACACCACTGTGCCCACATTGCACAATAATAATCAAAGAGCTGTGTGTATTATATATTTATTTATGCACGACAGACAGACAGACAGTCAGACAGACAGACAATAAATCCCTGGTGGGCAGTGTGGAACATTGCTCCTACCTGTATGATCGTACTAGAGTTGGCACAAATTAGGCAAATGCATTCCGGTTACCTACTATAATAAAATGCCAGGGTTGTAATAAGTGTGGGTTTTTTCCCACCAGCATGTAACAACGTAGATATAGTGTATCTCGTATTATATTTCTTATTTTTTAAATGAACGAATTCACGATGAATGATTAATGTATTAAGATGTGTATTTTAATGTATATTAAAACAAATACCTTCTCAACACTCCTCTTCCATATTTATGCTGCTGGTTGGACCGAACGAATTGCCACATTTAAATGTTACCACCTGCTTTTATTTACAATGTTAAGTATACTAAGTGTTGCAAAAACACAGTTCTTACAATGACATCCTTTTGTCAACTCATTGCTGAATGAAGGCCTGCACACATCGTATCGGTAGTGGAGATTGTTTGACCATACTTCGCCTTGCTAGTCAGTGTAGGTTGGTGAAGGCAGGGGACCCAGTACTGGCTCAGATATCACTTACCGCTGACGTTTGCTGGAGCTGGACATTTAACTCAGGTCGATGGGTCCATAGTACAGTGCCCTATGGTTCCACCACTCACCATCATAGAAAAGTATGTAATATTTTGCATCCTTATTTTAAAAATGTAATGTTTTGATAGCCATTTCTTTTTTCACCACATTTAGACAGGGTTAAAAAATATATATAAAACTGGAGTGCACTTTATACACTTTAAACAGGTGGTTTCAATGGAATGTTTGTCGTTTATGACCTTTCAGGAAACTTGACAAATCCAGAGATAAAATACACAAGTACTTCAAGAAACATGAGAAAATTTACCATTGGGTTGGTCTCGGTGTTCTTTCTGCAGGTAAGTTTGAGCTGATTTCTCAGCCTCCGTTTAAGACTTCTGCGAATGAATACCTGAGCACATCTTGTGATCACATGGGGTGGTTAAGATCCCTGTGAACAAATTTCCGAAATAAAATTACAGTTAATTTATTCATATGCGTGATTGAGCGAATGCAAACGAATATCTTGCATCTAGTCAAACATATAATACACAAATTCTGTATAGATGTTTTAAGCGCATTAAAATGTATATGAGAAAAACGTACAAAAGAGGTTATAATGAAGAAAATAAGGTATTAAGGAAACATGTATAGTACAGGAAAGTACAAACAAGAAATTACAGAAACAGTCGACACATCGCACTCCCATCACACTCATAACACTGGTCAACAAAAAAAACTTTTTTTCTGGCCTGGACTTTTGCAGCTGTTTTAGACTAATTTCAGGGTGCTGATTCCAAATCTGATCTCAGATTTGCTCTATCACATCATTTTCATGTTATCGGCATACCCCATTTTCATTGATTTTACCCGAAATTAACTCTGTCACTTATGATTGCAAGTTGTTACGAGTCAGTGACTGCTTTAGTGTTAAAATATGGTGCTGTATTTTTAGGATAGTGTGTTTATAATATCATTTTATATAGATATCCACATTTATTTAATGTTTTTCTTCTGCAGTTTTTATTGAAAATGCAATATTTGATATCTCAAAAACCTGATGTGATAGACAAAAACTGATGCCAGATTTGGAATCAACACCCCAAAATTACCGTAAAACCGTTGGAATACCTTATGCCAGAAAAAGTGTGTTGACCAGTGTAATCGGACAAAGACGGCGACCGCATAGCGCACTTCCAGATGCTCTTCTGCGGCGGTCTGGAACGCTCTTCTGATATGAGGAAGCCACTGGAGACATGCACTTTTAAATCCAGTTTGAAAACTCATCTCTTTCGAACTGCTTTTTGTGTTCAGTTTGTTGTCCTTCCCCGCACCTACATATGGTGCGAAATAAGTTCTACATTTATACATAATAGCCGAGGTTATGAGAGTTGCGCATTTATAAATGAACTTACTTCGAGGCTGTGTTCTGCTCTCAATCCAGATGAGCTGGTGGGATGGAGCTGGAAGAGAGAACGGCAGGCTGAGGTTGAATTATTGTCAATACTTTATACTCTGAGGTTCTTTCGGTAAAGTCACGTAGGTAAAAAAAAATGAAAATAACTAACTTAAATCACGACGTTTCGGAAGCAACACAAGCCTCCGTCATCAGGTGTAGCTGCTCCAGCAAAATTACTGTAGCGTGTGAAGAAAGCTATTCAAGACACGTGTTTTTTTATATAGGGTGCTATATAGGGTGGAGCAGTTACACCTGATGACGGAGGCTTGTGTTGCTTCCGAAACGTCGTAATTTAATTTAGTTATTTTCATTATTATTCTTTACCTACGTGACTTTACCAAAAGAACCTAACAGTATGAATCCTTGCAGTCACGAAAACTTCAAATCTAGAATGTCAATACTTTGTTTATATTGCTACCAAATTCAAGGGGGGGGGTGAGTTTATTTTGAGTCATTGCAGTAATTCATGGTTTCATCAAAAACATAAAAAGGAACACTTTTTCAAAGACTCGAATTGGAAAAGATTCTTTGATTTCAAAACACTGATCACCACCGCCTTATTGATGTGATGTGTTGAATAACGAAGGGGACACATTGTTCAACAACAACAACCGCCATTCGCCACTAAGTGGCGGTGACGTCACCACGACGCTTGTGCCAGGCCATGTGCACCTTGAAGCCACGTGAAGTGTCGAACGCCCGCTGGCAGGAGGTCACGGGGCAGACCTAGGTGCCACAGGTCGACTGACTGAGATGACCGAGATGACTGGCTGATGCACCACCTGTGCCCCCTACTGTGCCAACTTGCTGTGCTTTAGTCACTTTGTTCGACCACTATTACACACACACACACATCAAGGACACTTTGCACAAGGCACTCACTGGGTATTAATTTAAATTTTGTGGATTGTGATCTGGAAGCCAGATTGTTGAAGTGGAATATTTGTGGAATTGGCCTCAGTGGCAGGATTAAAGTAAAATCTAAATTAATAACCAGAGGTGTTCATTAGCACACACATTTCTTTCAGTCAGTCAGCTCTCAATGATATTGCGATATTGTTTATATACTACTAGAATTGTATCTTGAAAAATGTCCTAATAGGTATTTAAAAAATGTTTTTATGCAGATTTCTGTTCTTACTCCACACATACATATAAAACAAAATCCCATTTGCCTATTGGCTTTCAAGACCAATATTATCAAGCAGCATTTGTTCAAACAAGCAAACTCTGGCCTGGTTTTTATCTTTATCGTCTCATCAGTAGTCAGGCGTGTTATATACAGTAATGATGGAACCCTGTTCCATGCAAATAACAATACCATGTTTATGTAGATGATAATATTATAGATTATCCACCGACCTTTTACTGAAAATATGAGTGTGATTGCATTAGGCAATGGAAAGGTACATTAGATCGACTGACAGACGTCCTAAACAATGATGTGTATTAAATTTTGATTTAAAGCTTTCGTGACTGCAGGGATTCATATTCTTGGTTCTGTCGGTAAAGTCACGTAGAAGGGAAAGAATAAAATAATCAAAATCTATTAAAATAATAAAAACATATGAAAGTAAAGTCACGTAGAAGAGAAACAATAAAATACAAAAAATATATTTAAAAACTAAAAATATATTTTATTTTATTAAAAATATATTTTAAAAAGAAAAATTATTTTTTATTATTTTATTGTTTCCCTTCTACGTGACTTTACCGAAAGAACCAAGAATATAATGATGTGTATTATTTTCTAGGGCTCCTGGCTCTGGTGATCGCCGCTTGCATTGTCAACTTCAATGCCTCCTTGGCCCTGCTGGTGCTAACATGTCTGGGCATTTTCTTTATCGTGTGGGACACTCTCATGGCCAAGTATGAGAGTAAAATTGCCAAGGCTCTGCAGCCAGCCATCAGATACTTCAACAAGCACTGGAACATCATACAATGGTAAGGAAGTGGATATTGATCAGGGTAAGTCTCAAAATCGATGTTAGTTCATTAAAAATAGGCACGTAACGATTTAATCCCACAGTGATACAAAAAACTGTCATGATTTGGAGTCACATGCATTTTTGTAAAAAAAAAAAAACCATATCATTTGGATCGTCTATTATTATTCCACCTCGTTCACTCAGTTGTGTTTGCTTTATTAGCTGAAATGTAACATCAACATCTAATTTGCAAGCACTGTAATAGTTGAATCTTACATGCATAAATCAGTGCTTGTGTCATAAGTGCAATATTTTGCTTTAATCAATGAACTGATACATTGTTACATGCCCAATTAGGATGCTTGCACGTGGCTTAAATGCAACTGCTGTGACATTACATATGAGTGTAAACATTACCTAAATGTTTATATGTGCATATATTTATTGATGACTAGCTTTACTACCCGGCTTCGCCCGAGACTTATATCCTTGTCTTGGATTAATACACGGCCTACGCGGATGGTGGGGGGGAATGCGTGACGTCAGCAGGCACACTGTGTGACGTCAGCAGGCACACTGCGTGACGCTGCCGCATGCGGGTGACATCACAGATGTGACGTCAACGCTCACTTGCCGTGCATAATATATCCATTATTGCGCCCCCCCCCCCCCACCCAAAATATAAAAGTCTATTTTTATACGTTTTGCATTGTGTACAGTCTGGAAGCTACCCACATGCCAAATTTCAAGTTTGTTGCATGTTGGGAAGTATGCGAAACATTTCGGACAGACACACATATTCACAAATTTCCCTTTTATATATATAGATCTGACCGCAACTATTTGCAGGATGAATTGTTTAGACTGTTTACGAGGAATTTGCAATCCCATGCCAAATGTACGTCGAAGCAAATAATAATATAAGTATTCAAAACTGATCAAGGTAATCATTGGTATTGTTACGACATTTTATAATTAAAGTAAAATTTAAAAAAACTACACAGTTGCTTGAAACCTTTATAATGCTGCTCAAAGAAACCAACAATTCTATTCGGAGGTATTTATATTCACAGATGATATCATTTCACAAAACGCCTCCTTATGGTTGAACCTACATGAAATGGGCTTTGAACAAGAGGTATTGAGGACACTAACAAACACCTCCAGAAGAGAGCGGCACTCGTTGCATGTTCATGTTTGTCCTTCTGGCAGCATTGAAATAGAGTGGAGGGAGCACATAATGATATGCGCACGCCAGATGGGCCGAGTGAATCAGGATCAGAATATGTAGTTATACTGGAGGAATATGATGAGCAATAAAGCTCTTTTTTCACAGATGTCCACTAGGGGCGGGTCATCAGAAAGTTACAACAACAAACAATACAAAAACACGATAAGAGTGCAAAGTATAGGAAAGGTAAGCAAACCACGAAAAAATATAGAAATTAAAGAATTTTTATTTTATTTTACCAGGTAAAGCCCACTGAGCTATAAGATTATTTTTCAGAAGTGACCTGGCCACAAATGATAGCTCAACGATGTTGCTTATCATGCGGACATTTATAACAGCAAATAATTTAAACGATCCAAACGCATGTTTCTAAATGTGGAGGGGAAAACCGGAGGACTCGGAGTAAAGAAAAAAAAACCACGCTTGTTCTCATCCCATAAATGTTTTTCTTCTCATATCAAGGTCATGCCAGGAGTTTGAGTTTTGGTTACATGTGCACGCCGGTCGAGTTGTTGCTCTCTAAAAAATATATTGGCGTAAATGTGCATCACCACAAAATTAAAAAAGACACGTGTCTTGAATAGCTTTCTTCACACGCTACAGTAATTTTACTGGAGCAGTGACACCTGATGACGGAGGCTTGCGTTGCTTCCGAAACAACAGAAACACATACGGAGGTGGCCAATGTGCCACTTAAGGCTGGTAAAAAATAAAAAGCGCCTCAGCTGGATGTGTGTATAACGGCAGTCATAAATATGTTGCAGAAGCAAAAAAAAGCAAAGTAACCCTTTCGCAATTTACATTTGGTTGTGTTCATCGGTACATTCATGAGTCCACCGTCCAAATGAATAATGTGTCGTTATCGTGTTCCCCAGTAATCTGTGAAATCCCCCTTAATCTACTGGTACACCAAGTTTAGATTCACCATTTGCTAAAGGACAAAGAGGCCTAATGTTGTTTGTGTCACTTGTACCATATTCAGTTTCTGAGCAACACAATGTACCGTGGCCGTGTTAATGACTAATCGTCCCTCGGACGAGAGTGAATGACGCACACGAACACTTGCAGCTGGTACCTTGGACGTGAAAGCAAAGCGATCTGTGTTTTTTTTACCTAGGTTTGTCTACGCAGCAGTGCTGATCGCTATTGTCCTGTGGCTCGCTCTGGATACCGCCAAGCAAGGATTAAATCAGCTGATTCCCTTCGGAGGATTAATCATGCTCATTCTCATCATGTTCATCTGCTCCAAGCACCCCACCAGGGTACACAGTGCACGATCAACATCTTTCATACGTTTCAACACAGTCGTATGAATACTTTAATAACGTACAATTTCATTCATGGTGATGATTGCAAAGATACATTTTGGTACGACCTTGTTAAACGTCTTTCTCTTAGGGTAAATGCATACAATGTAACATCCAGATGGAATACCACGCACACCTTCCCCACTGCACACTAGAGCAAAGCCCTCTTGTGCGGCAGCACTAAACCGGACAGTCTAACGTGGCACATTTTTTTTTTACGTGTGTGACCTAAGAAACCGACGGAGTTAAACTAAGACTGCTGATAACAATACTATTGATAGCTGATAACAGGACTATTGAAAACACCTTTGCCTTAATCAACTCAACTCATAGCAAGCTGTGCTGGGTTACAGTAGTGACATTAAACTTTTGGGAAAATGACAGAATTTGTGTATGAAATGTTAGCACAGTGTTTGACATATCTTTCTATAGGCCAGCACAGAAAGAGATGACATTTGGACTGCCACGTCTCTCTTATTATCTCGCTTGCTTCCAGCAGTTCCAGCGTTTCATATTGCAAGGCTTGCTGTGAAAGGCAAGTGATAGGCAGGTAGATGGTGGGTCATTTTCAGAGGTGAAGTTTAAAGGTGGGAAAAGCTATTTTGGAAAATGTGCAACCTTTTAAAAAAAGATAACAGCGAGGTTCGATGCCACTATGATTTTCTTGTCTACGGCTACATGCCATGCTATTAGAAACTGCGTTTCGTTATTTAATCATCACTAGATAGCAATTTTGCGTTCCGAATAATGAAATGTTTGGGTTTTCGAGTAGGAATTCAGTATGGAGTAATATTACGCAGTGGGTTGTATATTTACTGTAATATATAGCATTTTAGGTTATCTTACAAGCCACACTTAAACATTCTGCTCATGAATATATTAATTTACAGCCCTTTGCTAGTTAAAGGCCTCCCTGTGTGCGGTTGACTGCTGTTCAGCGTGAGTTGGTGGAGGGGCCACCCATCACCGTTTGAAATGTCAGGTCCAGTTCAGATGTAATTATTGTATATTATGATTGGTTCTGACTTTACAGAGATTATTCACATCGATCATGCTGCAAATGTTCCCCGGTGACCAAGTCTTAAGTCCGATTCAGTCCCAATCTCTTAAGTTCAGAGTGTTAAGTAGTTTGTCTTTGTAATGATTAACTGACAACAAAGACTAAAGGTCAATTATACACAAGCATTTTAAGTAGCTTTCGGTTTTCAAATGGCAATACCTTATTTAAAGGGAGGCAATTAAAGATTACTGAAATGTTTGTACTTCTTATACAATATGTGCAATTTGCCTTTTTGCCTGTTCAAATATGTAATGCGAACAGCTTAGAACCTTTAGCTTCGTGCCATGGGTGCTTCACGGAATACACAACTCCATTTGCCCAAACTTTGCTTGCAAACACATTAATCAAAAAGGTCCTTCTTCACATACCGGTCTAGCCTTAGCATAGCACGGGATGAGTTCGCATGTAGGTTCAGCAGAAACTATTAGGCCTATTGACCATCCCGAGCCTCACCTCACCTCCTCTTCCCTCCTCGTGTGTGCTTTGTTTTGCAGGTTAAGTGGAGGCCTGTCCTATGGGGCGTGGGCATTCAGTGGGTTTTTGGCATTATCATTCTCCGCACTGATGCGGGCCTGGATGCCTTCGAGTGGCTGGGTAGTCAAGTGCAGGTAATGTGAAATGCAATTATATCGGACTCTCGTACATTTACGAGCATGCTCGCAGACAGTTCTACTTTATACCTCAACTAGCAAAGTTTTTACATACTCCCCCCCCCCTCTATTCTAATAATGCTATTCGTATCGTGTTATAATACACATTAATTCCCAATCGATATTCTGGAGCTATTGGTTCTGCACAGTAGTTTACCCTGTGTCAGAGGATGGCTCTGGAAGGTGATATAACAGAGCTACTTACGAAGTAACTTTAATTGACCTCTTTAGTCACACTAATGACACACGTTTTAATGCCCTGTAAACATTGTTTTTTTCTAGCATATCAATCAAACGTAAAAAAACCCGTTCATAGCTGGATCAAGTCAGATTAAGTTAAAAACAAAAGTTAACATGTTTTTTTTACTGACAATCATAACCACCGGTTATTAAACCAGATTAGAAGCCATATCGCACCACTAATAACTTGTTAATTATATCTCAGTATGTGTATTTTTAGATCTGGAGGTTTATTCATCGGTTGTACGTTTAAGACTGGGAGTGCTGAAGATGAATAACTTAATGTTTATGGAAGAGGGGCTTGAGTTGGTTACACATAATCTCATGTAAAAATAGTACCTATTTCTTATCGTGGTTAAAATTTACTTACATTTTCATGGACTGTATTAGTGTATTCGTAACTGATAAGCCAGAGTTATCTCTAACACAGGGCGAAGTGTGTAACAATTCGTAGTGATGAGGCATTTGTAATTATTAATCTGTGCGTGTTTGTGCTCTCTCTCTCTCTCGTGTGTACATGTCTAAGACTTTTCTAGATTACACTGATGCTGGATCTAAATTTGTGTTTGGCGACTTATACACAGATCATTTCTTTGCGTTTAAGGTAATGCAGCAACCATGTCACCATTTCGCTATGCATTGTGGGTTAGCTTAGAGGAGGACAATCGTTCTGTCAGCTCGTATTTTAACCTTTGAAATTATTTTTGGAAGCATAATACTAAAACGCTGCATATTATTGGTTCTTTCGGTTTTATTTGTATTTATTTTTATTATTTTATTATTTCCCTTCTACGTGATTTACCGAAAAGAACCAAGAATATGAATCTCTGCAGTCACGAAAGCTTTACATCGAAATAAAATGCTGCAGTTAACAAACCTCTGCTGTTGGCGATACTATGCACTGTGATAGAATTAGCGCATATACGTTGTGGTGTGGCTACATTTTAATAAAAACAAAATACAGCACTAACCATACACTTGATATTAGAGGCTCAACACTTTGTTTACTCATTTGATATTATACATAAATAAATAAGAGGTTCACAAAAGAAGGCCATTGTGTGCTGATGTTATTGCCAGCATTGCTTAAGTCATCATCACCGTCATCCAGTATGACAAATACAAAGACATCGCAGCGATACACTCAGCTACTCCTGACGCGGTTGTCTGGCTTGACCACCTGAGTGTGAAATTGTAGTCGATGCTCTGCATCGGCATCAGCCGCACGAAAGAAGAAGAAGATTCTTATTATCACAATTATATGGACGTGATTCAAAATCTGTATGGATTTGTTCCCCTGTAATGTGTTAACTCTTGTTCATTGGAACGCCTCCGCACATGTTCATTGAACTCTTTATTTATTTATCTCTCCTGGCATTTCATTCCTGGGTTTGCTCATGAGTGGTCACCCGTAATGAATGTGTCCCGCCAAAGCTGACTTGAGCAATTTTCCTGCAGCCTACATTTAGCTGAGATCAGATTCTAAAATTGTGAAACTAATTTGGTGAGTCATCTTCGGTACTATTATAATGAATTTAAATACCGTACAACCGACAACATATGCTTAAAAAACTTTCATTATCCTTACTAAATTGCAAGTTGTAAACGTTCTGTTAACACGTAGGATTAGCCTTGTGCATTTTGTGCAAGGAACATTTAAACATGAAGTCATTTTATTAAGAAAATAATAATTGCAGTGCTTTGCCAATCCGCTGTTGGATGAAGGCCTTCCCACCCTGCATTTCTCTTGGGGGTCGTTTGACTATACTTCACCATGCCGGTCAGTGCAGGTTAGTGAAGGTAGTGGGGGAGGGGGGGTGCATAGGACAAGTTCAAATATTACTCACCTCTGAGGTTAGCTGGAGTCGGGAATCAAACTCAGGTCGTCGAGCTCATAGCGCAGGGCACAAACCACTGCGCTGTACACCAAAAACATTCACAACCAAATCCCGACTATAATAATGATGCAACTGTGCCACTTCAAGCATAATATCATTGCATCTGCAGACCTACGTGAGATAACGCCAACAACAAGCAACAGTTGCGTGCCCTTGAATCCACTGGTGAAATTGCTCTGCTCCCTATCCCATGTGCGTGTCAGGTGCTGCCCATTGTCATCTTCTTCAGCATGATCATGTCCATGCTCTACTACGTTGGCTTCATGCAGTGGCTCATCCTCAAGGTACCCATTGTTGTACCAGCCCCGTAGTGTCGGGTGGGGGGGTCTGGAGGTGGCTGAGCCCCCCCTCTTTGCCGAAGGCTCAAACCCCCCCCATTCTAAATCCTGATAGCCGAGTTAAAAAGTGTTGGTACAGTGATTAACACTCGTGATGACATCAGTGATGGGGGTCCCAGCATTTCCTCTCAACATGCATCTGGGGTCATATCTAGAGCAACACTGCACGGTTGAGACAAAACCCCAGATCCTCTCGTTAATAATTCTCTTTAAGCGTGTAACATTTGATTAAACCAACATAAAAGTTCATCCAACGTTGACGGTGCAGTTCTCCCCAAGCCTCCAGTGAGTCTTTTGCATGCCCCCCTCCCCCACCCCTTCAGTAAGGTCACGCTACGGAGCTGGGGCACCCCAGAGTGGGCATTTGGTCAGGGGGCAGCAAAGCCACGTCGAACACGAAGCCAGGGTCCCGTGCCAACGGGGGGGAGGGGAGGGGGAATCTTGCAATGACCCTGGTTTCCGATAGTACAACTGCTTACTCGTGCAGTGCATTTGTGAGCTGATAAATAAGTGGCCACCTTTGCATTACGTTTAAAGCGGGAGTGTAATTCACGGTTGCAGGTGGCGGAGCCAATAAGCTCCTCCTCACGTAAAAAAACAACGATTCGTTATCTCTTAAGATATGGGTCTAGTTAAAATGTTATTCAAAAAGGCTATTGTTTCAGAGGTCTTCATTTAATAACATTCACTGCCACTCATCCGTTTCTTCCAATGCTCTGTATAGTCAGTAAGTCGCTCAGTATGCTTTACTTCGCCAGGAGATTAAATACACGTGTTGAGGTTTAGCATTGCGATGACTCTTATTGTCTCATGCCTGGTAGTATGATGTTTCTTTGTGATGTTATTTCCTATGTGTGAGTGTTTTTATTTATCATATCAAGCACAGGTTGGTATCCATTACCAATATCAGCATTTTTTCAGTGACAAAACTAATTTACGTTTCCACATGGTTCTGATTCAAACTTGTGCAAATGCCTTAAATTATATTCAACTATGGTTGAAGCAAACGCAACACAATATCTAGCACGAGCTAATTATTTTTTGCAATGTTATACTGCGTTCCACCAAACACCATTGTGCAAACACCTGGCAGTGTGGCATATTCTGCTGCAGCCAAATTACATTTTCTGGTCTCGAGAGATGATAGGACCGGTGGGGTCCCTTAGCCAAGCGATTTCTGACATCCTGGATGCTCGGCAGGTGGGCTGGGTCATGCAGATCACAATGGGAACGTCTCCGACGGAATCCCTGGTGGCAGCGGGGAACATCTTCGTAGGGCAGGTACGTTACGGAGTTCCCTGAGCCTTCATGAACTGTGAATGCTACACTTTGTAATTGTGAAAGTTCCTTGGCATATTGACGCACACTCTGCATTGCTTCCTTTCCGCAGACGGAGTCTCCACTGTTGATTCGCCCATACCTCGCTGACCTAACATTGTCCGAGATTCATTCGGTCATGACCAGTGGTTTTGCCACGATTGCTGGGAGTGTCCTTGGTGCATACATCTCCTTTGGGGTAAGTGAAGAGATATTAACACGGAAATTCATGCCACTTTGTTCACTCAGAAAAGTCTCAAAGGGCTTAAAAAATATTTTTCACGATGGTCCTTCTTAGGCTCTGTAAACATTTCCTTACTGAGTTTTTCTGTGTTCGGCAAGATTTTCATATATAAATTCCCGGAGAAAACCCATCCACATGAGAGACAAACATTAAAAACATTGTATAGATGGGTTAGCCAGTAACTTACTTGCTGTATTGTCATTTACTGGCGATATTATAAGACCTGCAAATTGGGAATGCATGAACATGGGCTCTGATTTGTGTAGCCGATAGATATCTGCCACGGCACACTTATGATTGCCACCTGTCCTGGTTTTCCCAGGATGTTCTCTTACGAGGCCATCGTCCAGATTTTTGTCGGTTGCATAATAATACACAACCCAAGACAATGCATTTGTAGATGTTCCCTCTTCTGGTATTGTAAGACATTCTTCTTCCTATAATAAGTGCCGGTTTTTGAACCTCGGAGGTGACAACCCTAGGCTCACTTTGTAAATGTAAGGGTGTGGCAGAATGCTTCGTTGGCTGGCATAATCCATATGTAGTGGTGGTATTGACGTGCGCCGGGAGTGATGGATCACGGGGCGCGGGGTTGGGCACGCGGTGTGGGCGTGGCAGGGACGCGCGCGCCGGTGGTGAGGCGCGCTCACACAAGCTGGGAAAAGAGGATCGTAGCGAGTGCGCAGTGATTGGTCAGATAAGTGAGTACTCTCAGCGACGTCCGCAGGAGGGGTATAAAGGGGGACGCGCGAGAGCACTCGTGGTCAGTGTTAACCAGTTGAAGACCGAAGACGGGGTGGAGGAGGTAGGGGCCCTGTGTGGCTCGGAGCCGAGACTGGGGGGACCGTAGTCCGACGCCCGTGTGGGTCGGGACGGTGGTACCCAGAGCCGAGACGGGCACCCCGGCTGGGTGTGTCCCGGAAGGCTACAGGGCGTAAGAGCCCGTGTCAGTACAGCTGAGTGGGTGTTGGTCACCCGTGTAGCTGAGTGGGTGTTAGTCACCCGTGTAGCTGAGTGGGTGTTGGTCACCCGTGTAGCTGAGTGGGTGTTAGTCACCCGTGTAGCTGAGTGGGTGTTGGTCACCCGTGTAGCTGAGTGGGTGTTGGTCACCCGTGTAGCTAAGTGGGTGTTGGTCACCCGTGTGACGAAGTTGTAGTTGAGTGGGTGTCCGTCACCCGTGTAGCTAAGTGGGTGTTGGTCACCCGTGTAACGAAGTAGGGTGTTAGTCATCCGTGTAACTACAAGTTGGTGAAAATAAAGAGTGTGCTACCCGTGAAGTCGTCTCCTGCCGAGTTACTACTTTACAACTGGCGTCAGAAGTAAACCTGTCTTCAAGGAGAATGGACACAAGGAAGACTTCTCGTTCCCACGTGCAAGACCGGGGAGACGACGACGTACCGGTGACACCACCCTCGGGAGGAGAAGACGAGGAGTTGCCGCCGATGCAGCACTTCGCGGAAATGGCCGATGCTCCGCCCGCCTCCGACACCAGCCTGCAGGACGCACACTCCCGCCTGGCGGAGTTGCTGCTCGCCGCCGCTGCGATCTTGGCGGAGATCTCCGTTCCAGCGGCCGGTGGAACGCCTGCGGGGTTGGAAGAGGCGGCGCGGCTGGAGGGTTCCCGCCATAAGGCGTTTCGCGCCAAAAGTTTGGGAGTTGGCGCCATTTTTGAGGGTCCGCCTCCGGTTGGCGGGAAACGCGGACACCACGTGGCCAGAGGTCTCCACACAGCGCAGCCCGCGTCATCGGCGAGCGCCGGAGCTCTCCATTTTGCGCCTGCAGAGGGAGCCGACATTTTCTACAACCACAGCAGCGCGCGGGAAAATCGTTCCAACGACGACGACGACGATCGAGTTCTCCAGCAACGATTGCCCGCGCTGTCGGTGTTCAAGGCGGACGGGGGCGACTGGGGAGCCTTCCAGCGACGGTTCATCGCGCATCAAGAAATGTCGGGGTGGTCCGACACCACGGCCCTGCGCGCGCTGCCAGCGATGCTCGACGACGACGCGCTTGCGGCCTTCACGTCTGCCCCGAGGTCGTCCCGCTCAACGCTCCAGGCCGCGCTGCACCTGTTGGCCAAGGTGTTCGGGCCGCCCTCGACCTGTCGCCACCAGTTCTACGATCGGCGGAAGGTGGTTGGAGAAACAACGCTCGCCTATCGCACGGCGCTGCTCGCCCTGGCGGATTCAGCTTTTCCCCGCATGGACAAGGAGGGGAAGGACGCCATGGTGACGGAGCAGCTGCTGGCGCTGGCCCACGGATTGGGAGTTCCCATTAATACGGCGGACGAGATGGACATCTGCTCCCTGGGGATTGCCACGAGTATCCACGCTTACGAGGTCCTACAGCGGAAGCCGACGGTCGTCTGCGCATCGGTGGAGAACGGGGCACCGGCCGCCACGATCAGCGGACCCCAGCCTGCTGTGCCTCGGGAGGAGGCCTTCGCTGGTTCGAGGCCGGGGGAGTGGAGACCGGGAGGTCGTTCGCCTACACGCTCCTCCCGCAAGCTGGAGCAACCGAAACCTACGACGTCCCTCGTCGTCTGCTACAACTGCGGCCTTCGGGGCCACGTCGCGGCCGGGTGCCGGGCCCCGCGTCAACGCACCGCGGGACCACGTCCGGACGACGACCAGGGACTCAAGACATCCCAACTGAACCCGGCAAGTCGCGGCACCTCACACGCTCGGTCCACACGCACGGCACGTTCGGATCGCCGCTTAGCGGTGGGGGGACCGTGTATGGGCGCCGGGGGTTCGGTTCGGCGAGAGGGGTCCGCGTACGGCCCGAAGGAAGTCGAGTGGTCCGAATTGGCCCACAGGATTGTGGCTGCGTCGGCCGGGTCGTCCGTGGTAACGGGGTACATTGACGGGGTTGAGGTCCGGGTGCTCGTGGACACGGGTGCGTCGGCCACTATTATTTCGGACCTTATTTATAATATTCTTCCCGTACAATGTCGACCACTTCTGCCGGTGGACGTACCATTTTACGCGGCAAACGGGGGATCTTTGGGAATCATCGGCCAGATTCGGGCGAATATTTGTATTGGCGACATTAAATTGGCGGGTCCTATTTTTGTATCATCATCGTTGGCCGTTCCTTGTTTACTAGGCACGGACTTTCTGTCTAAAATGCCCATAAAAATTCTCATAGACCAGGCCTGCATTGAGCTTCCGTCGGGTCGGCGGGTTGAGTTTTTGAAGAGTCCAAATAAGATACGCACGGCTTGTGCGACGGTGCAGGCGCTGGCAACCCGGACTGTACGGGTGCCCCCGGGATCGCAAATGTTGGTACCCCTTCGGTTGAGAAAACAACTGGGGGCGGATGCGGGGGCGCAGGGAGTTCTATTGGGGCCGTCTAACAGGGCTAAAGGGGACCTCGGCTTAGCGGTGGCCCAGACCATGGTGAGGGGGGACAGTGAGCCGTTCGTTGTGGTCCTGAATACGGGGTCGCGGCCGGCCGTGATTACGCAGGGAACGGTGCTCGCTCACGCCGCGCCGCTACCCGTCGAGGAACAGCTCGTTGCTCACGCCGATTCACATGTCGATACGCATCCCCAAAGTGAGGAGGGGACGGAGTGGTTGGACGCGTTGTGTGCCGGGTCCAGTACCTTGTCCAGTGTGCAGTTGGGTGCATTGAGGGGCTTGCTGCTCGAGTTCGCTGACGTGTTTAGCAGGCACAAGTACGACATTGGCTGCACAGACCTGTTGCGCCACCACATAGAGACTGGGGACGCGGCCCCTATTCGACAGAATCCCTTCCGGCTCAGTCCAGCCGAGAAGGAGCATGTGCAGTCGGCAGTAAATGACATGTTGGCGGCCGACATCATTGCGCCCTCTTCCAGTCCGTGGGGTGCTCCTATCGTCTTGGTTAAAAAACAGGATGGATCCCTGCGGTTCTGTGTTGATTTCCGCCGCCTAAACAAAATATCAATGGCCGATGCGTATCCGCTCCCCAGGATGGATGAGTCGCTGGATGCCTTGGCAGGAGCACAGTTTTTTTCGACGCTCGATTTGCTTTCGGGATTTTGGCAATTGCCCCTCGATGACGAATCAAAACCTAAAACCGCTTTCCGGACACCGGGAGGCCTATTTGAGTTCAACCGATTGCCCATGGGTTTACATTCCGCTCCTGCCACGTTCCAGAGGCTCATGGAATTGGTTTTGGCAGGCCTTCAATGGGACACCTGTTTGATTTACCTCGATGATATCATCGTTTTCAGCCGAACTTTTGAGGAGCACCTCCTGCGACTGAGGGCAGTGTTTCTCAGGATGCGTTCCGCGAAGCTTAAATTTAAACCGGCTAAATGTTTTCTGCTTCGGGAATCGGTCAGGTATTTGGGCCATATCGTTAGCCGTTCGGGGATCTCGACGGACCCTGCTAAGACGCAATGCGTCGGCTCATGGCCAACACCGACCTCTGTTACTGAAGTCCGCAGCTTCATAGGATTTGCCTCCTATTACCGTCGTTTTGTCAAACAGTTTGCCACCATAGCCAGGCCCCTGCACGCCTTGACGGCTAAAGGGGTGCGGTTTCACTGGGGGCCGGAGGAGGAGGCCGCGTTCTGCTCCCTTCGTGACGCCTTGGTGCAGGCTCCCCCCTTGTGTTACCCCGATTTCACGCAACCGTTTGTGCTCGACACGGATGCCAGTAACACGGGTATCGGGGGAGTGCTCTCACAGGTGGTCGGGGGGGTCGAACGGGTGGTCGCCTACGGTAGCAGGGTTCTGTCCCCCGCGGAACAACGCTACTGCGTGACACGGCGTGAATTGCTGGCAATTGTGTTTTTTATACAGCAATTCAGGCCGTATCTGTATGGCCGTCACTTTACGGTTCGCACGGACCATGCGGCTCTCCAATACGCTATGCGGGTGGCGCAGCCATCGGGCCAATTGTCCCGATGGTTGGAGGTCCTTCAGGACTACCAATTCACGACGATTTACCGCAAGGGGTTGCGCCACTCGAACGCGGATGCATTGTCACGGTTGCCGACGCGTACGGAATGCGCATGTCAGTTGGGATCGGCGCGGTGTAAACCTTCTGTCGATGTCCCCGCGGAAGTAGTGCTAGCCGCCACGGATACTACGGGGGTCGACGCCCCCACGGGGAGGGACTCGCTGTTGGCATTGCCTCTCATCGAGTGGGGCCGTCTGCAAATGGCCGACAGCTCCCTACTCGCGCTACGTCGGAAGGTTAACGTTCCCGAGGGCGGGGAAACGCGGGTCGGTTCCTGGGTGTGCAGACAGGGCCTCTTGATGAAGTGGGACTCCATGTCCCGGCGTCACATGCTTGTGGTGCCGGTTGCTGTACGGGGTAAGGTCGTCCTGGCTGCCCATGAACGACTCATGCATCTGGGGTTTCATAAAACGCTCGCCCTCATTCAGCGAGACTACTATTGGCCTGGGATGGGCAGTGACGTGGCGAACATTCTTAAGGGGTGTGTAGGGTGCGCTAAAAGAAAACCGCCACAAATAGCGGCTAATCCACCGCTTCAATCCATTCAAGTTTCGCGCACGAACGAATTGGTCGCGCTAGACATCTTGGGGCCCTTTCCCACTACACCTCGGGGAAATAAGTTCCTGCTGGTTGGCGTAGAGTACTTCACCCGCTGGCCCATGGCGTGGCCACTCGCCAACCAGTCGGCTGCGGCGGTGGCGGACGCCTTTGTCCAAGGTTACGTTTTGGACAAAGGCGCCCCCGAACGCTTGCTGACGGATCAAGGGAAAAACTTTTCGAGTGTTTTGTTGCGCGAGGTGTGCGACCTGTTGGGTACAAAGAAAGTACGTACCTCCCCGTACCACCCGCAGACTGACGGTATGGTTGAACGTCTGAACAGGACGATTACGTCTATGCTGTGCCAACAGGTATGCGACGACCAGGTGGATTGGGACTTACAGGTACCGGGGGTACTAGCGGCCTATCGGATGGCACCCCATGCGGCGACGGGGTTTTCTCCATTTTTTCTGATGTATGGGCGGGAGGCTGATCCGGCCATGGACGTCCAACTGGGGATTTCACAGCCACGTGCGAAATCAAAATTGGCAGACCACATTAAGTTTAACGTCGCCAAATTGGCTGAGGCGCGGGAGGCTGCGAGGTTGAATTCACGCTCTCGGCAGATCGCGAACGAGCGATTGCGTGAACGGAAGGTGCATACGCACAATTGGGAACCGGGCGATAAGGCCTGGCTGCATTGTCCACACGCACCGTTGGCTACGTCCCCCAAACTGTTGAGACCATGGAGGGGACCGGTGGAAATTGTGCGGGTTGCACGACCCCAGAGTATACAGATTAAATGGGGAAAACGCCGTTGGTACGTGCACTCCTCCCGACTGAAACCCTACGCGGCACCACGTGACCCCGGGTTGTGCCGTGACGACCGAGCGTGTGATGTGACCGTCGACTCGGGGAGGGATGTGTCGCAGGCTGATCCTCACGTGTCTCCACCTGACCCACCCCCAGGTGTCTCGGACCTGACGGCTGTTGACCGTCGGGAACCGGAACCCCGCGGCTCGCACGGAGCCCCGATGCCTGGCCCATGCCTTCCTGAACTGCCGGCGCCGCCGGATGGCCAACTGCGTCCTGTGCCGTACGACGGTCCGGCAAGGCGGACTCGGTCAAGGACGCAACACTTTTCATGAAAAAAAAAAAAAAAAAAATTTTCTTTTTTTGTTAAAGCCCGACTTCGTTGCCGGCTTCCCCCTCTGCCGGGGTAATGTCCCGTTCAAGGGACGCTCGGACATCGGGACGCTGCATGAGTCGGAGAGAAAAGAAGAGAAAATGATTAAAGAAATTTTTTTTTATTGTTACTCTTTCCGCATACACAGTATCGTTGCCATTCGCCGGATTGTGCATGTTGTTCTTGTTGCGGGTGTGGCGGTTGCTGGGTTTTGCGGATTGCGGTGTTCATGTTGTGTTGTTAGGGTTTGTGTTATGTTACGGGGCACACGTGGGGGTGAAGGGGTGTTGTATGTTTTATTAGCAGCCGGGTCGGCTGCGAGCTATGTGGTAGGGGGTGATGTAGTGGTGGTATTGACGTGCGCCGGGAGTGATGGATCACGGGGCGCGGGGTTGGGCACGCGGTGTGGGCGTGGCAGGGACACGCGCGCCGGTGGTGAGGCGCGCTCACACAAGCTGGGAAAAGAGGATCGTAGCGAGTGCGCAGTGATTGGTCAGATAAGTGAGTACTCTCAGCGACGTCCGCAGGAGGGGTTTAAAGGGGGACGCGCGAGAGCACTCGTGGTCAGTGTTAACCAGTTGAAGACCGAAGACGGGGTGGAGGAGGTAGGGGCCCTGTGTGGCTCGGAGCCGAGACTGGGGGGACCGTAGTCCGACGCCCGTGTGGGTCGGGACGGTGGTACCCAGAGCCGAGACGGGCACCCCGGCTGGGTGTGTCCCGGAAGGCTACAGGGCGTAAGAGCCCGTGTCAGTACAGCTGAGTGGGTGTTGGTCACCCGTGTAGCTGAGTGGGTGTTAGTCACCCGTGTAGCTGAGTGGGTGTTGGTCACCCGTGTAGCTGAGTGGGTGTTAGTCACCCGTGTAGCTGAGTGGGTGTTGGTCACCCGTGTAGCTGAGTGGGTGTTGGTCACCCGTGTAGCTAAGTGGGTGTTGGTCACCCGTGTGACGAAGTTGTAGTTGAGTGGGTGTCCGTCACCCGTGTAGCTAAGTGGGTGTTGGTCACCCGTGTAACGAAGTAGGGTGTTAGTCATCCGTGTAACTACAAGTTGGTGAAAATAAAGAGTGTGCTACCCGTGAAGTCGTCTCCTGCCGAGTTACTACTTTACACATACACCATGAGGCCACTCGCATTACACGAGCGAGACAATCAATGACTTCACGACGCAAGCGCTGCTCACAGGTAGGTGTGAGATATATTGTGGGGAGTGGTGGCACAGCGGTTAGCACACTATCTTATGAACCTTGTGGCCTAATTTCAATTCCTGGTCACAGATAAACGTAGTATCAGTGATATCTGAATTGGTTCTTGGTCTTCCCTTTGTTGAATAAGCCTAAAATGAGTACCTGATGCAGTGTCTAAACATCAGCCATTGAGAGACAAAGTCGACTGGGAGTGGTAATGGCCACACTACCCTCTCTTGCATTATTATGGTCTTTATAGGTGATTGCTCACAGCATTTACCCCAACATATAACTAACTAGACGAAGGATGAGCCCTGCTATCCTGCACATTAATAAAAATAACAACTTTTCATTTGGCACGAATCAAAATGAAGTGAAACACTTTACAGCTCTGTTTTCGATCTCAGGAAAACAAGCGATTGAACAAATTCGTGTTTTTGTTATTATTTGTGTTTAACTGACTTCTGTATAATGACTGAAACAGCAAACATCTAATTCGATATACATCGTATAAATCCTGTGTGTTCAAAACCCATTCTTGTTACTTCACGGGTCACTGCAAATAACCCCAATAACTGTCAGCTATGGGGGCAGCGAGGATTTTAAAGTTGACAGATTTTTCTGTGTTATGGATGTGAGGGGGCAGCCGCATAGGGTTGAATATGACAAAACAACATTCACAAATTCGAATTTACCTTAACCCGAAGGATGTTTCTGCCATCATTATGATTCATAATAGATGTTTTGGTAAGGACACGTCGCGATCTGGCCAGATGTTTGCCACGTAACCCTCTATCACCTGACACAGCCAAACAAATTAAATTGTTACGGGTACAATCTTTGAACACGCGTATTATTACAGTTTCAGCTCACCGGTAAGTAAAGAACATCTCCCACAATATAATCTAGCAATTACATATCATGTCTCGTTTTAAAAACGTGCCAGGCATCCTCAGGTAAAAAAACTAAAATCCATGTTGACAATTGTATAAATTGATATGTCTATGATTTTTAGCCTGTCGGCTCTCACATATAATTGTGGGACACCATTCAGGATATAACCTGTTGTCTTTGATTATAATAAACGGCTTTGGTTTGGCACTCAAGAGAACAAATAGCACACACAATCCACGCTATCATCTGAAGCACATTCTGTACACAAAATGGACTTTAATCCCATACGTATTACTGAACCCAAGGTCTAGGGTGTGAAGTACACTTACATGTGTAGTATTCTCTCACACAGATAAATATTTGTTAGCCTTTGCTAGACTTTTGTACTCTCTGGACAACCCACGTTCAATTCCTGGCCATGGCGAACAACGCCATCTTGTTATCTGAAGCGATCTGGCGTGCCGCTTATTCACCAGTCTGTACTGACCAGGATGGTGAAGTATAGTCCAACACACCCCATGACCGACACAGCGAACAGGAGGCCATAATCCATCAGTGGATTGACAAATGGCTGTGGCTGTAAAGTTCTCTTTTGTAAATTTTACTTTCTTGAGAACACGCTTTCACAATCATCAAGATCTCAACGAAACTCGCCGATTCGTATTTGAATGAAAATGTGTAGTCCATTTAATGTTACATTGAAAGTTCTGAATGAAGGAGTAAAAGAAAGCCTAGACATTAATGAAATCAAACTCATTGACGCTCACGGTAATTCCATTTAGGACTATGGTGGCACTTCATTTTTTGAGGTTGTATACACTTACTATTTAATTCTCAAACCCTTTGACCACTTGTGATATTCATTATGTTGATGACACGGGGTGCGTGTGTGTGTTCAATGCCGTTCCCTAGGTGCCGGCTGCCCATCTGCTGACAGCCTCCGTAATGTCAGCACCTGCAGCCCTCGCTATATCTAAGGTCTTTTGGCCTGAAACCCAGAAATCCAAGTTTAAAGTCAAGGGTAGCTTGAAGCTTGAAAAGGGGTAATGTGTTTGAAGAAGTGTTTTACCTCCACTCTCTGTCTTCATCATTTTACCTTTAACGTCATCGCACTGTATTTAGAGATGGCCTTCACAAGTCCAGTTCAGGCATTTAACATAGTTGTCATGGTTTGTTATCCTGTGTTTGCCATTTGTTTCCAACCAGATCTGATAGGGCGCATTAGCTGAAGAGTCGTGATGCGCATATATAAAAACAGAAACATATATTTGCGGAATATCGTTCGATATCCGTGTACAAGAATGCATTTTTTAATTCTACCAGCCTTTTGGCTCTTCAGACCTATATGATCCACCCAGCAGTATTTGTTTATGCTTATAATCTCTGGGTTGGTTTTGATATTCTGGGGCCACCTAAGTTACTGAATAGTGTTTCTCAACTCGAGTCCTCATAACCCCCCACACAGGTCACATTTTCGTGCTCCTAAATATTTTCTATTTATGTCCAAACTAAGCCACTGCGCACGGCACGCACCTGATAGTTGGTAATTATGGGAAACTGAACACTGGTGGGTCGTGAGGATTGGAGTTGCAAAAAACTGCAGCAGAGCAATATTCTGTGTTGAATAAGGAAGCAACATCGAACTGAATGCAATATACAGCAGACCTGGACAAATGCATGTCACTGGCTTTTAATTCCTGTATGTTCGTATATGCATGCGTATGTGAACTTATACGTCGAAGGCAATGTAAATGCAGCAGCAATCAACTACACTAGAAATGTATGGAGGCTTAGTTTAAAATCACAACCGCATATTATTAGTCTCAAACCAGTTCCTGAATAGGTTACGTTCCCTGAGAGAATGTAAACCTCAACACTGTCTGCCTGTTGAATGACAGTGGGCACTTGCGTCTTGTCTACGACTACTGTCTCTGTTATGTGCACTGATGCCCAGTTGTTTTTGTCGTACTACTGACAGCACGGAGAGCAACCTTGTGGAGGCAGCTTCTCATGGCGCATCTGCTTCCATTCCCCTGGTCGCCAACATCGCAGCAAACCTCATTGCGTTTTTGGCCCTGCTGGCCTTCATCAATGCCATCCTGTCCTGGCTTGGTGGCATGTTCAACTACCCAGATCTCAGCTTCGAGGTACCTTCTCCCAGTGGCGTAGCGAGGATATTTTGCGCCCGGGGACGAACTATAAAATTGGCGCCCCCCCCCCCCCGTTTAATCACATACCAAAATGTAATTACATGACATGTCGGCTGTGTGTGGCGGGATATATAAACTTTTAGGTTGAGGTGTAGATTTGTGCAGTAGTTTCAGGCTGCCGCGCCCGCCGCAATAGGTTATAATGTAACGTTGTAAACCTCATTTTGGCGCCCCTTTACCTTGGCGCCCGGGGACATATGTACCCCCCTGCCCCCCCCCCCCCTAGCTACGCCTCTGCCTTCGCCACCTTCCTCTATGCTATAGCCCATATAGAGAGCAACCATTTGATATTCAGCTGCAGGTCATTTAGCCACCCCTTTGCTTTGTCTGAGAGTTGGCCATTTGCCATGCGAAGTTACGTGGTGCGTGGTTCAGAGTTCGTAGATTTATTTTAGGCCTATTGACCTCCAGGCATAAATTGTCTCGACACTTACCTTATTTAGCCCTTTGCCAGTCCTGGTTTACTGATTTGCTTCACATAGATAGTGCCGTGGGCAAACAAAATGTGTTGGGCCCCTAGCAGTTGCCAGCAAGCCTGGCGGGGAGGGGGTGATCTATTTCTCTGTCTACGTCTCTGCCTCTCTCCGGGTCTTTGGTCTTCTGTGTTTTTTCCCCCCATCGGCACTCGGCATGTTTTCGGCAACCCTTACAGCTGTGCGCCCTTAGTGGATGCCCTGATTTTCCACTCCTAAGACCAAGCCTGGATTTGAGCCTGCATTTCAGGTATAATACCAATAGTTACATGTCACCGAATCATCCAGAATGCATCCGATCTTAGTACGTTGTGGAAGTTAAGCTGGGTTGATCCTGAAGAATGTTAATAGATGAGTGACCACCATGGACAAACGGCTTGTCATAGTGTTTGGGAGGCTGCGATAGGCGGGACAGGGCAGCGCAGCAAAATCCATTGTTGCACTCTACTTCTATTCTTCCACATCTTTGCTGCCTGCTTTCACCAATCTGCACTGACCAGCATGGGGAAGTGTCGTAAAATAACCCCCATGACCCCCATAGTGTGGGGAGGGTCTTATACACAGTGTACTGAAAAAAGGCGTCTACATGTTCATCAATAATCATACAATTTTCATAGCCCGTTCCAAATACTGATATCCATCTGTGAATGGATACTTAAAACCTTGGCAATCTTTCCAAATTAAAGCCGCTATTTTCTGGTCGTAAAGTAATATTTGCCAGGAGGGATTTGATTATATGCACATCTCAATATTGTGCAGATAATTATATAACTCAGTGGATGCAATGAAGTTTTGCTGTCAAAAGATGCCGCGATAAAACAAACAGTACTTTCGTAAAAAAAACAACACCATTGCGGTGACTGTGTTTAAGTAAAGGAATGAAAAAGACACCACAGTGTTTCGCATTGGCATTTATATTTAACATGATGTTATATTTGACTGCCTAACTAACCCCATACTCCTCTGCTATGCTCATTCCATGTGTTCATGTAATTATGTTTAGTTGGTGCCAAAATGGTCAGCACACTGGACTCTCAATCCAGAGGTCACTGGTTTGATCTTCCGGCATGGCAGTAGAAACAAAGTTGAAAGTTTCTTAAACCCCTCTGACACCTATGTCCACTCAGCAATATAAATAGGTATCAGATAAGATAATTAGTCAATAAACAGGTCAACGTGAGTACACCTGCCTCTTTCAAGACGCCCGCCAGCATGGAAGAGTTTGCTAAATGCCCTTTAAAGGGGCACCCTATGGTGGAGGCCATTCCAGCGACAGTGGCGTGATCAAGCAATTTTGCCGAGCTAAAGATGCGACCAAAGCCTCATTTACCACCCCACGTGGCTCCCTCTTCCCTGTTTGTGTTTGTGTCCAGCTCATCTGCTCGTATGTGTTCATGCCGCTGGCGTTCATGATGGGTGTGGACTGGGCTGACGCCTTCATGGTAGCAGAACTCCTCGGAGTGAAAACGTTCTTCAACGAGTTCGTGGCCTATGAGCGGCTCTCCCTGCTCATTAAAGCGCGAACAGACGGCTCTCCCGAGTACGTGGACGGAGTGAAGCAGTACATGAGCGTAAGTTTATGATGTTGTTGGCAAAGCAGTGCTGTCCTTAGCTAAGAAATAGAGTAACCCCATTGGACTGTTTACCTTCTGTTATAACCTTTTAAAATTTGTTGACAGATCACACCCGTCGATGGTTAAAGCCTCGCAATTAAGAAATCAACCTCCATATAAAACTAAGCGTGGATTGTGCAATGAGAATGCCATTTTTGTTTTCTAAAAAAAAGAAGAAAAATACAAAGTATAACTATTTTATAATTAATTAATACCCCTTCCCGTACTTGAAAATAAACAATACAGACATCGATCCATACAAAGTATAAACATTTGATGTAGGATATTTCGACTTGGTGTTTCCCAGCCTGTGGTCCACAGATCACTGCTGTCCACAAGGTTGTGGAAAGTTGTCCGCGGAACTGTAGCACATTCCGTGACTTTATTCACAAAACACATTTTTTTTGTTTACGGCTCATCGGAGAGCGATTTAGGTTTAATGTATGGATGATAAGCACAGCTGGATATTGACTGAATCTGCTTATTTGCTAAGATTGGTCAACAATGAGTAGTTTGAATGGAAAAATATAAATCAATGGAGCATGGCAGCCTACACAATTTTTGTTTTAGGGTTGCCAATGATCTCTTTGTCCAGAAAGGTTGGGAACCCACTGTTTATGGAATTTTCCTATCCAATTCACAGCCACAACTTGCTTTGATATGTGTTGTTTATTGCCACGTTTAGTGATGTAATGGCACTTTGGGTGGCAGATTTGTGCCAGAAAGTGCCACATGTTAATGAAAAATGACTTGACTTCATTTTACTATTTGGCATTGATGTTAGCCCAGACTGAAACTGGATTTTTTTTTTAATCTCATTACAGCTACGCTCGGAGGCCATCGCAACCTATGCCCTCTGTGGGTTCGCCAACCTCGGTTCCATTGGAATTATGATTGGTGGCCTGTGTGAGTATTAGATTATATATATATTGAAATCTCACTCTCTAATACAGCAGATAAAAATAATGATGTAATTGTATGACTTTTCAGCTTCCATGGCCCCACAAAGAAGAGGTGATATTGCTAAATGCGCAGTCCGTGCATTAATATCTGGTACCGTGGCTTGCTTCATGACCGCTTGCATTGCAGGTGATGTACAATTGCAGTCTGAACATTTCATACTTGCAGTTATTTTATTTAGCCACGACACATTCTTTTTCGCCTTTAAATTGTACTACTGTAATATTCTTGATTTTTTGTTATTGTCAGGCATTTTATATACACCGCAACCAACGTGCCTCGTCATTCTGGGTGACGCATTCATCGGCGGAGAAGTTCCAAGCAACTCCTCAACCATTGTCACCTGCTGCAATGACCTTTTCAATCGGTATGGCTGAGAATAATGTGTTCGTCCAGTCTCGGTCCAGTTTGTATTTGTGCTACGCTTGTGAACAGCTATCGTAAATACTCGTAAAGCTGCGCTGTGGACTTTGTGATAAGGGGTGACAGGCATACGGAGAGGCCATGGGAGCATGCACCACACCCAGGGCCAGATTAAGATTTTGTAGGCCCCTGAGCTACAGGTACTGTGAGGCTCCCAGTAATATTTTCAAAAGGAACACAAAGTTAAGCAAAAATATGATTCATTTTTACAAGGCTAGCAACAACTACAATTCAGCATTTACAAGTGAAATAACTTTTCACTTCATCTCTGGAGGTCCTCCAGCTGGCGGAGGCCCCTGGGCTTGCAGCCCCAAAAGCCCCGTGCCTTAATCCGGCCCTGGCCACACACACATTTTCTAGTGGGGGAGCAGGTGACTGCTTGTGCTACAGCGGTGGGAGGGTAAAGATGCATCAGGGAATAAGGGAGTGCAGGTCGCGCTGGGGCTCAAGCTGAATCTGCAAACATTCAAGAGCAGTGATGTCTAGTGCATGGGGAGCTGTAGCTGAGGTGAAAGAACGGGCGGTGGCTAAACTAAAATAAAATCGAGATGTGGCTTAATTCATTTTACAAGTAAATTAACCCCTGCCTCAGATTTAGTTTTTTCCCGATCCCTCAGTTACAGTGCCTCTCCATAGAGCAATGCCTTTTTTTACATTTTATAACAATTGAATATATTCTATACACATTATCTTATCATTATTATTTCCATTCTACGTGACTTTACCGAAAGAACCAAGAAGATGAATCCCTGCAGTCACGAAAGCTTTAAATCGAAACAATACATATTGTTTACCTTATTGTTGGGATGATGTCAATTGGCTCCTAACCCAATACTCCCAGAGACTTTTAGTGGGGAGCTAAAATGTATTTTTTGTCCCCCCTCTACCTCCCCATCTTCCTGAGGCACTTGCCATGCAATAAACGTCCTTTCCTAGACTCCCTGTGTGATGCTGCCCTGATGTAATGGTTTTCACACTGGATAGGGGCCTATCGTCCCGCCGAGGTAGTTGAATGCGAGTGGTTTAAATCCTCTTCCCACCTCTGTCCATCCAGCAGTATCAATGGGCACACCTCTTTTAGCCAATCGGCAAGTGTCACTTGTGCAGTGGGATAGAGTGAGGGTGCTCTTGCCTTTTCATAAACATCTGGCGGGTTGTGGAAAAATTAGCGAAAATAACCTGGAGAGGCGTTTCTCCTGAGTCCCCCTACGAGAGCCCCTTCTGTTAAACTATTTTAAAACTATTATATATTTTTTATTTTACTAGCTAAGACCCACTGAGCTGGCTAGCTCTTTTTTTTAGAAGCTACCTGACCACAAATGACAGCACAGCGAAGTGGATTTATGACGTGGAAATGTATTGCAGCCAAATACTCTAAACGCACGTTTCTAAATGTTAAGGGGGGAAAAACGGAGAAACCGGAGAAAAATCCACACGACCACGGGGAGAGAGACATGTACATTCCATACTTTATATACAGGCGTCAGGGTCAAGTTTCAAGTTTCAAGTTCATTTATTAGGTATAGCCCTGTGAGCCATTCGGCTCTTGAATCGGGAGCAACCGCAACAAACAAAAAACATGAACAAAAAACATCTTAAAGTAAAAATGTGACTAAGTGCAAACAGAAAATCCAAGAAAAGACAGCAAAATATTGCAAAAAAAACTCACCGTACACCAACGCTGTGTGCAAAAATCCCAGTGGGATGCAAGTCAAACAACCAACAACAACCACAAGACAACTTAGATTAAGGCCATCAGTCTAACTCTGTACTACAACAAACAAACATGGCTAAACCAATACAGGGTCGGGATCGAAACCATGACCTGCTGTATACCAGGCGAGCGAGTTAACATCTCACCACCACGGAGCCTACAGTGGCGAGATGCCAGCAGTTGCAAGGACTGTACATGTATCCCTACTCTAATAGATTACCTAATTACTGTGGCATACTCATTTGTATTGGACATTCATTTTAAAGGTGGAGTTCTCCATTGCGTGGTGCTTACAATTGAAGTACCGGTGAAGACGCTTGACGCCGAGGTTGAGGCACACGTATATTTATTTCACAATACGACAGTGGGCATATAACACTCGAGGGGGTATCGGCCCCCTCACCCGTATAACTTGGAATACACCCCTAGCTAGCTCTGTCCTAGCCCCGAGTCCTCCACTACTGGGCTAGGGGAGGCTATCTGGCCCGACACTGGTAAGTCGGGCCCGGTACCCGGAGTTCCAGACCAGCTCTTACAAGAGCACCGGCTCTGGCTTTCGGGACCACGCCGCTGGCTCAGTCCTGTCCGGCCCTGAAAAGGACATCGAACTAGGGGAGTCCAGGGCTCTATCTAAGACGTCTTCAGTCTTCTTCCCTTAGCTTAAAACATAACTGACTCGAGCCCTTTGAACATCCCCTTTTATACCCAACCCCTCCCTGAGGGGTGGGGCCCCGGGGGATCATAACGTTCGAACCAGCCCCCCCCAGGGTGTCTGGCTCGGACGTCGTAGAGGGCACCTCCTCGTGCACTTACGTAGCCCCGCCCACTGTGTTTGTTTTCCATAGGCTGCCATGCATAACGGGCCCTCTCTTTAACACCCCTACATCACCCCCCCCCCGCATAGCTTGCAGCCGTCCCGGCTGCCAACATACAAAAATGACAATAAAAGTGCATTTACACCTTGACCGCGCGTGTGCCTCACTATTTTTCAACAATAACAAGAACAGCAACAAGAACACAACAAAATGCAACAGCAAGAAGAGAAAACAACCCGACGCACCCCCCTTGAATAAATACGAATTCCGTAAAAAAAACAACCTATATACAATTTGCAGGGAACCCACCATACACACAACACCAGGTGAACCCAACGTATGTACATTTCAATGGGCAGGGAACACACCACCCACACAACACACAATGAACCCAACATATGTACATTCAATGGGCAGGGAACACACCACCCACACAACACACGATGAACACAACCTATGTACACATCTTCCGGCCTCATAACAGTCTGCGCATTTTTGCGCGCGTCCTTGCCGCGGGCCCCTCACACGGGGTAACCCCGGGTGGCGGACCGTCAGGTGGCAATTGTCCGTCCCGGAGTGAGTCCTCATCCGATGCCGCGCGACCGTCGGTATCCCCAGGAGGGGTGGTCGGGCGTGAGCCCGTCAGTCCTGATGCACCCGGAGGTGGCACGGCCGGCAAGGCATTAGGTGAGAATGACGGAGACGGACCCAATGAGTCGGTCGACCCCCCACACGTTTGGCCACGCATGTGTGAAGTGGGTTTGTGTACCGCAACGAAGGGTTTTAACCTAGAGGGGTGCACGAACCATCGCCGCTTCCCCCATTTAATGCGCACGCACTGTGGTCGCAAAACTTGGACCACCTCCACAGGACCCCGCCACGGCCGCACGAGCTTAGAGGAGGTAGCCAGTGGCACTTGGGGACAGTGCAGCCATGCCTTGTCCCCCGGCTTCCACTGTATCATGTGCACCCGACCCAGCCTGAGGCGCTCATTCGCCTTTTGACGGAGGTCCGAGTTTAGCATTGCAGCATCCCGCGCCTCTGTTAATTTGGCCAGATTAAATTTGACGTGGTCAGCCAATTTAGTTTTCCCTTGCGGCTCGGGGATCTGCAGCTGGGCGCGAACAGGCGGGTCGGGTTCGCGACCGTACATGAGGTAAAAGGGGGAAAATCCCGTAGCTGCATGGGGTGCCATCCGGTATGCCGCCAAGACCCCTTGAATATGCAGGTCCCAGTCAGTCTGTGAGTCCGAGACCTGCTGTGACATCATTGACGTAATGGTGCGATGCAGGCGCTCGACCATCCCGTCAGTTTGCGGGTGATACGGGGAGGTACGAATTTTCTTCGTGCCTAGGAGGTCACAGACTTGTTTGAGTAATTTACCGGAAAAATTTCTGCCCTGGTCGGTCAGCAGCCGCTCCGGAGCACCTTTGTCCAGGACGTATCCCTGAACAAAGGCCTCCACGATGGCTGCTGCCGACTGGTTGGCAAGGGGCCAGGCCATAGGCCAGCGTGTAAAATACTCGACACCAGTCAACAAATACCTATTGCCCCTGGGGGTGGCGGGAAATGGGCCCAAAATGTCCAGCGCGACAAGCTCATTTATTCTGGACACTTTGATCGATTGCAAGGGCGGGTTAGACTCCCGCGCCGGCGGTTTCCGTTGCGCACACCGAGGGCATGATCCCAATAGATCCCCAACATCCCTCGTCATGCCAGGCCAAAAAAAATCAAGTTGTAGTAGTGCAAGAGTCTTTTGGGTCCCCAGGTGTAATAGGCGCTCATGCGCGGCCCACACCACCCTGCCTCGCAACCCAGAAGGGACCACCAGCCGATGTCGCTGGGATTTCCCGTCCCAATGCATCAGCAGACCTTGCACCATTTCCCATGCATCCGAATCACCCTTCACCCGCCCAGCACCCCCGACGCGATGACGCCACCCGAGGAGGGAGGTATCCTCCATCTGGAGGCGCCCCCATTCAGTGACGGGCAACCCCAACAGGGAATCTCTTCCCTGTTGTTCGATCGAATTGGTAATTAATGGTTCGTCGTCGTCGGTGGCTGCCAAGACCGGAACCGATGCGTCTCCTGAAGGCCTGCAACGTCCCGACCCCAGGAGGCATGCACATTCGGAGGTGGTTGGCATGCGCGACAGAGCGTCCGCATTCGTATGGCGAACGCCCTTACGGTAGGTGGTTTCAAAATCAAAGTCCTGGAGAATCTCCAACCATCGAGACAACTGTCCCGATGGTTGTTGAACTCGCAGGGCATACTGTAGTGCCGCATGATCTGTGCGGACGGTGAAATGCCGACCGTACAGATATGGGCGATACTGTTGGATGAAATAGACAATTGCCAACAGTTCCCTACGGGTGACACAATATCTTTGCTCCGCAGGAGACAACACCCGACTACCGTACGCGACCACCCGTTCCACGCCATCAACCACCTGGGAAAGCACACCCCCAATACCCGTGTTGCTCGCATCGGTGTCGAGCAAAAAGGGCTTAGAAAAATCGGGGTAAACCAAGGGAGGGGCTTTTACCAGGGCGTCCCGAAGGGAGCAGAAAGCAGCCTCCTCCTCTTGACCCCAGTGGAACCGAACCCCTTTAGATGTTAAAGCGTGCAGGGGTTTGGCAATTGTCGCAAAATCAGCGACGAACCGTCGGTAATACGACGCGAAACCAATGAAACTCCTGACCTCTCCCACCGAGGTGGGAGTCGGCCAGGAGCTGACACACTGCGTTTTGGCGGGATCGGTAGCAATACCTGAGCGTCCCACGATATGCCCCAAATAACGCACCGAATCGCGCAACAAATGGCATTTTTGGGGTTTGAATTTCAAATTAGCAGCCCGCATCTTTAGGAAAACCGCCCGCAACCTCTGGAGATGTTCGTCAAAAGTTTTAGCAAAGACGATAACGTCATCCAAATAAATGAGGCACGACTCCCATTGCAATCCAGCCAAAACCAATTCCATCAAACGCTGGAAAGTTGCCGGCGCTGAGTGTAAGCCCATCGACAACCGGTTGAATTGGAACAGGCCGTGCGGTGTACGGAAAGCAGTTTTAGGCTTTGAATCATCGTCCAGAGGAAGCTGCCAGAATCCCGAAAGTAAATCGAGTGTGGAAAAGAATCGCGCCCCCGCCAAGGCGTCCAGCGATTCATCCATCCGAGGGAGCGGGTATGCGTCAGCAACCGAAATTTTGTTAAGGCGCCGAAAATCAACGCAAAACCGCAACGATCCGTCCTGCTTTTTAACCAGGACGATCGGCGCTCCCCAAGGGCTGGTGGAAGGAGAAATGATGTCGGCGGCCAACATGTCATCAATAGCCGATTTGACATGGTCCTTTTCGGCGGGACTCAACCGAAACGAATTTTGGCGAATTGGCGCGCTGTCACCCGTGTCAATATGGTGACGCAGCAGGTGAGTACAACCCAAATCGTATTTATTCCGACTAAAAACGTCGGAAAATTCCCGCAGTAGTGTTTTAAGTTGTTGACGCTCTGAATCTGACAGGTCCGTCGATCCCGCACAAAGCGCCTCGAGCCACCCTTCATCGCTGTCCGAATGCGGTCGCGGCGCAGGGACAACGCTGACGTGATTTGCGACGGTTTCCTCACATGGCACCGGCGTTGCGTGAGCAAGCACGGTTCCCTGTGGGACCACCACCGTCTGCGAGCCCACATTGAGGACCGCGATGAAGGGTTCACCGTCCCCTCTTACTATGGTCTGGGCCGGAAGTAAATGAGGTCCACTAACCCCGGCCCTAGACGGCCCCAGCAGAACCCCTTGGGCCACAATACCCTTAGCGAAGGGTCGCCGAAGTTTCAAGGGAATCAACATTTGTGCCCCCGGAGGGACGCGCACCGTTTTCTCTACGAATGCCGGCACCGTCGCGAACGCCGTCCGAGTTGTAACGGGTGATGGCAAAAACGCCATGCGTCTGCCCGACGGGAGCTCAATGCATCCCTGGTCGATTAATATCCTAATCGGCATTTTGGCCAGGAAGTCCGTCCCAAGCAGGCACGGAACCGCCAATACAAATTTGGGCCCGAATTTGTCCGATGATGCCAAGTGAGCCCCCGTTAGCCGCATAGAATGGTACGTTAACAGGCATCAAAGGACGGCTCTGGACAGGGAGAATATTGTATATTAACTCCGAAATAATGGTCGCCGATGCTCCCGTATCGACCAGGATGCGCACTTCAACCCCGTCGATGTGCCCCACAACGGCCGACGACCCCGACGATGCGGCTACCACACGATCGGCCAGCACGGACCACTGGCCGGGTTCGATATGAGTACCCAGAGTGGTGCGTGATGGTGTGATGGTGCGCGATATCGGCCCCCCTCTCGTTGCGGTGTTTGAGTGCGTGACGGGCGTGTGCGTGGGCCAAATATGTGGGGTGCCGCGACTCGCCGGGTTATGATGGTGGAGCTTGTGATGAGGCCCGTCGTCCCGTTGAGGTGTCGTCCCGTGCTGACGAGGAGAGCGGCACCCCGAGGCGACGTGGCCCCGGACGCCGCAGTTAAAACACCGCGGAAGCGCCGTCGGAGGTGACGGATGGTCGGAACGGCCCGACCCGTCCCGGCCCGACCGTGCTCCCGTCGCCTGTTGCCGTCGGTGGTCGACGGCGTAGAGCTCCTCCGTCGGAAGGGTGGCTGCAGCCACCGCACGCCCCGCCGATGCCCTGCTGGCTTTTCGCTGGAGCGACAGGAGGTTTGCGTGGAGGAGCCGCGCCGCCTGGAGCGATGTCATTTCCGCGTCCTCCTGCGCGACGACAGCGATGTCAAGGTCGTCTGCCAGGAGGAGGATTTTCTCCGTGACCATAGCATCCACGCCGTCGTCGTCCATACGAGGGAAGGCCGACTTAGCCATCGCCAGGAGGCTCGTCCGGTATGCTAGGGGCGACTCCTTCTCACCCCGCTTGCGGTCGTAGAATTGCTGTCGGCATTCGGCTGATGGTCCATAGACCCCGCCCAGCAGCTGTAGCGCCATCGGTAACGTAGACCGCTTCTCTCTCGGCGCCGATGTGAGTGCGGCGAGCGCGTCGCCGTCGAGGAGCGCCGGCAGCGCGCAGAGAGCCTCCTCATCGGACCATTTCGCCATCTCCTGATGGGCGAGGAAACGTCGGCGAAACCCGGCCCAGTCTCCCTCCGCGCCGATGAACTCCTTCAGCGGGGGCAGTCTGTGATGAAGCGCAGCGGTTGTTGTAGACTCCCGCAGGCAGATGTCACCACCACTCGGCTGTGCGTCGGTGCGAACGGCCGATGGGATCGCCTGTCGCGGTTGTGATGACGCACCCACCGGCGGTGATGACGCTGCAGCTCCAGCGACGGCGATGTCGGAGCGGATGTTCAGGCTGGCCACGCCCTGAACAGCTGTAGCGTCGATGGCGGGAATTTCAAATTTGGACTGCTCCGAAATGGCGGGAAGGCGCCCTGGTCGTTGGCTCGCCTCGCCCCGTGTTGAATCACCGGCCCCCAATCGCGTGATGGTCTCCAGCGTGGCGGCAGCGGCATACAGCAGCTCCGCCAGCCTCCCGTGAGCCAGCCGTAACGCGTCTGACTGCGGCCCCTCTTCATTTCGATGCCCCGGTAAGGAGGCGTCAGGCCCCGGCTGCACCATGTCTTGTGGAGCCGTCTCGGGCTCGACGATCTCGGCAGTGTCTTCCTCCTGCGGTACTTTTGCCCGCGCTGTTTTCCGCGTGTCCATGTTCGAATTACTTCTGACACCAGTTGAAGTACCGGTGAAGACGCTTGACGCCGAGGTTGAGGCACACGTATATTTATTTCACAATACGACAGTGGGCATATAACACTCGAGGGGGTATCGGCCCCCTCACCCGTATAACTTGGAATACACCCCTAGCTAGCTCTGTCCTAGCCCCGAGTCCTCCACTACTGGGCTAGGGGAGGCTATCTGGCCCGACACTGGTAAGTCGGGCCCGGTACCCGGAGTTCCAGACCAGCTCTTACAAGAGCACCGGCTCTGGCTTTCGGGACCACGCCGCTGGCTCAGTCCTGTCCGGCCCTGAAAAGGACATCGAACTAGGGGAGTCCAGGGCTCTATCTAAGACGTCTTCAGTCTTCTTCCCTTAGCTTAAAACATAACTGACTCGAGCCCTTTGAACATCCCCTTTTATACCCAACCCCTCCCTGAGGGGTGGGGCCCCGGGGGATCATAACGTTCGAACCAGCCCCCCCCAGGGTGTCTGGCTCGGACGTCGTAGAGGGCACCTCCTCGTGCACTTACGTAGCCCCGCCCACTGTGTTTGTTTTCCATAGGCTGCCATGCATAACGGGCCCTCTCTTTAACACCCCTACACAATTCTGGAGATAGCAGCAGGCTTTTTTTTCTCTTTCGGTTGCCTTCTCTGAAATTAAAAAATACATTTAAATAAGCATTTGAAATGACTCGCCTCAAGTAACATTTCCAGAGTTTCGCCTCACCTGGGAAGCTAACCTCATCACTCGACTGTGATATGTACAATCCACTTGGATTTATAGCTAAATTTTTAAATATTTACAGCCCCTTGTCAATCTACTGCTGGATAAATGCCTCAACGCACCACCACGATAATCGTGTAATATCATTTATGTTACAGCAGATAAATAGACTTGTTTATAGCCCAAAATTTATTGTTAGGGCACCTCTTAAACTACACAAAATTGAGCTGTTAAGCTGTGTTAATTTAAACGGATTTAAGCTGAATTGGGTCAGTATTCTGTTGGCCTTTTGATGTTTAATCCATTGACGTCTGTTTATGTTGTCTTTTCAGCACTGAAGTCATTGATCCTGAAAACATTATCATCGGTGGGAATTATACCAGGGAAGCATTGGACGGCTGCTGTAACATGATCATTTCACCTTTTTTCAACTGCTCCTGGGTTGTATGAAATGCTATGATACACTTGCTCAGCATTGCCTTGTTAATGCCCAGATCTGTAATTATATTTTATTTTCATGATTCCACTACACTATTATTAGTGCAGTATTTTGTAAATGACATGAACACAAAGCTTACAGTTTGCTCATCCACTCATTGTGCATGGGCATTTATGTTTTTTTTTAAAGATAAATATACTCTTGTAACATAAATATAAATGTGAAGAGTGTAAATGGTTGAATGGTAAATCTTCCTGTATTTGTAATATTACTTAGTAGCTCTTAGTTTTCAAAGCCTTAGCTATTATTTAAATGAAATTAACTGCAACATTTGTGGAAATTAATTAAATTACATGCAATTTTGGATGGCTATGCCACGTGTTTAATGATTGTACTGTACGGTAAACAATGCAATGCCTACTTTAGTATTTGCATCGGAAGTTCTCGCATTCTTTCAAATCTTTGAGAAAAAAATTGCATGAAATCGCCTTTTTCATATTTATAAGTGAAATTGTAATATTTTTTTACTTAGCAAATGGTTTTTTTGGCCTCTTCTACATTCGATTATGAATATGTAGATTCTTTAAAGCGTATTTTTAAAATAATGTTTAATATTAACATTCAAATAAAATGTAATTTACAGTCAAAACATTGTTTTATGTCATAGTTTTTACACTGTGTACCTGCATATTAAAAACAAATTAATATTTGACTTTTGTTGTGATTTCGTACTTCCATTTATCATATCTAATGATTTCTACGTGTACATATCATGAGATTCTGTCGATAAGATTGCAGAAGGTAGTAGGGTACTTGAGCAGAGGTTTGACGCAGGTAGTCTTAAAATGACAGTGCATAGGCCATTCGCTGCCCTGATTCTGCACAACCTGTGATCAAGGCTGTTGCAATTTTGCAAAAGGCTCGATTAGTGCAGCTAGAAAGAATGCAACATGGTGCAGAAGCCCGAGCCATACACTTTATATCGCAGTTGAGACTCGTGTACTGTGGGTGTGAGTTGCACACACAAAGACAAAGATCCCCCATATAGACATTAACAGACTGCCTTTAGCAAGCACTGTTAGTGCCTGTAAAGGCTGGAAAAGCACACAAGGTTATGGGTTCGCCAGCACCACACCCAACCGCCTTCGTCTCCCAAGGGGCAATGTTTACACATCGCACCAGGTACTCATTTTAGGCTGAGTCAACCTAGGGGAGGCCCAAGACAGGTTCGCAGATTGACCATTGTGATTGGTCGTGAGCAGGAATCGAACTGGGGTGGCCAGAGTCGTAGCGCAGTGCGCTAACCTCTGCGAGCGCAACAGCAGTTGTCGTTCGCCACGAAGTTGATGGTTGACATCACCAGGGCACTTTGTGCCAGGCCAGGTGGACACTGAGGCCACCATGGAATGTCGAAGACTCGTTGACATGACGTCATGTGACTCACACACGGACACGCAAAGACACTCCGAAACAAGGATCTCCCGTGCAGCCTACACATACTGCTGGGACTAGTGAGGTTTGCGAGCGCCTCTGAAGGATGACAAGGCAGATGAGAAGACGGTGTGGCACAACACGCTCGCCCGCCTTTGTCTCCCGAGTGGTGATGTTTCACCGCATCAAGTACCCATTTAACGCCGAGTCTACGTAGAGGAGACTCAAAATCCGTTCAGATGTAATCACCATTGATGTTGTCTGTGATCGGCAATCGAACTCGGGATGCCGGGTTTGCAAACACAGTGTGATTTAAATTTCCGACAGACCTGTTCTTCACCTGAGGACGGCTGTTTGCGTTGTGGCCGAAACGTCGTGAGAATTATTTTAATGTTTTATTTTTATTATTTTTTATATGTTTTATTTGTATTATTTTATTATGTTTTATTATTTTATTATGTTTTATTTTTATTATTTTTATTACGTTTTATTTATTTATTGTTTTATTTTTTGTATTTTTTTATTTTAATATGTTTTATTTTTATTATTTTATTATTTCCCTTCTACGTGACTTTACCGAAAGAACCAAGAAGACAGTGTGATTTATTCCGTAATCAATGAATGATGGACTTCCCGAGCTGCTGCCACTTTCTACGAACCTGTGACGCAACTATCCATCCAGCAACATCACCTGAACTTGATTTCATCATTCCATCTCCCCCTGGTGGCCGTCCTCTCGGATGAGTTCCATTCCTTGGCTGCGGTTCAGTTATTATTCTTGACCATCGTCCATCATCCGTTCTAGTGAGATGTTCTGCCCAAGCCCTACGCACAGAAAATGGTGTTTCCATATCTCTTGTCTTCACGTCTCTGTGTGTATCTCTATGTTCGTCTCCCTTTCTCTCTGTCTCTGTGTGTCTTTGTGTTGTATTGTGCAGTATGCGATAACCCGCAGATAATAGGATGAATTTACCACGCGCATCCTTTTCCCCCGCGAAAATTGGAATCTGTCCACAATCACGGGGAAAATTGTGGATGACGGCGGATAATAGGAAGATTAGGACCAGAAGTAATGTAAGTTTTTTTTGACGATAGAGCTGCTGAGGTTAAGAGGATGTGTGGGTCATAGGTAATACATTAATAGTTCTGCATGTCAATAATTACTCATAACGTTTCTAACAGTTTAAGCTTCATTTAACAATGCACTCCTACTCCAGGTAATACATTAATGAGCAGTTGTAATGAATAATGCATGTTTTAATAATTGGCGCAGATAAAAGAGGTTTGTTTATTTATTTATTTATTAATTAGTAATGGTATCTAGGCTGTATGTGAATTGTTGTTCATGTGATGTCATGGCGCATTTAAAATGTTGGATAAGGTTAAATTGTTCACTTGACTCCCTGGATTTAGTTGCTTGAAACAGTTTCAAGCTTCCTCAGGTCAGAAACCAGGAAGTCGGAATTTTTGTTTTTTACTTTGAGTATGCTTGACTCAGTTTCAAGTGAAACTTCACATCTAACTGCTGAATGTTGGTTGAGAGATATGTTCTTCGACTTACGAGTGAGTTGAAGCAATACCAATTGGCATGGTAAACGGTTGTACATGTTACTGATGTTCGAGGTATTGCATTTAAATCTGGATTACATCTTCTTACCCATATAGTATGTTCACTGTAGACATCGGCCCATAAGTGGATGGGTGTAATTTTAACCTTTGTCAGTGGAGTAATGGGTGCAGTGGGGGAGGATGGAGTGGGGAGGATGTCCAAAGATTGAAATTTGGCAATTGTTGAGTTGATAAAGTGAAAGGCAATTTAGGCACCCGGCAGGAAGTGTTCCAACTATAAATGTTGAAATCGTCAATCTACCCTATTACCTACAACGACTTTAACCACACTCAGATGAATATCCGGTCACATGTTTTAGTAAACCTGGGATCTGCATTTCCCATTTTTTCTGAAAGTCTAGAGCATGGGTAGGCAACCAAAATAACGAGAGGCATAATTTTCGAATTCGGTAAAAAAAACCCTCAATATTCCAAGAGCCATAATACACGTGATCAATACGCGATGGTGGTCCTTAATAAATAACGTAACGGAGCAGTCGTTAAAGAGCCGCATTCGGCTCTGGAGCTGCAGGTGGCCGATCCCTGGTCTAAAAGAACTGTGGCTTTTCAATCTGACTCCATAACTGCCTTCGGGTAGTTTAATATAAGTTTTTGGCTTCACCCTTATTCTAGATACGCAATTTATTTTTGCCGTAAAAGTCTACCGATAAGAGTGATTGCTGTTATGGCGTAAAAGTCTACTGTTAAACATCTTCTTTTGAAATTGAGTTTATTTCGTCATAAAAACTGCAAAATCAACTTTAGTTTATTACCCTTTACAATACATGTGTAGAGATGCAGTCAGAGACACTAGGAGTAGGAGGCACTCTATTTATTACACAATAGGTAACTACAACTCTCAGTCAGGACAGCTTGCAGAATGCCTGACTGACGATGTCGAGAAGGTGAAGACGGCGACGAAGACTCCAGCAGCACGACGAGGGGATCCCACTCCAAGCAACAGCCCCGAGCCTTCGCTCGGGGACCCCTTTTATCCTCCCAGCGCGGCCTCGCTCCGCCCTGGCCACGCCCCCTTCTAGAACCTACTAGTGGGTTCCCGAGCTGACCTCACGCTGCCCCCTCTATCACCTTTCCCCTACATCCCTCTCTCTGACTTATCACCTGACCTGCTGACAGACAGGGCTGCTGCAACTGCAGATCCCCTTCTCTGCCAGCAACCCGCGCTATGCTACGTAGTGACCCATTCCATGCCACTACACATGTTACAGTATCATGTTGAAACTATTTATTTATATTCTTGGTTCTTTCGGTAAAGTCACGTAGAAGGGAAATAATAAAATAAAGTAAATAAAAAACAAGTAAAATTCTCACGACGTTTCGATTGCAACACAAGCAATGCCACTGCATTAGTTTTCTGCACATTTCTAGCCCCGCCCACTTTCCCCCTGTCTAGTAGCATTCCACGCAACGCTACCCTTCTCCTCCTCCCCACTTGCCTTGCTCCTCCCCCCTCTCAAATGTATATAACCCCTTACCACAGCATCTCTCCCACTTCAGCTAAAATTTTCTTGTTGTAGTTTTCACACCTGATGATGATTGCTTGTGTTGCAATCGGAAAGTGATAATTTTTATTATATTATAATTGTATTATTTTATTATTTCCCTTCTACGTGACTTTACCGAAAGAACCAAGAGTATGAATCCCTGCCGTCACGAAAGCTTTAAATCGATATTTATTCATACTGTATTTGGTACACCCAGAATAGTAATGCTATTTAAAAGTATTCAGAATTATACTTGTAGCGTCTTTTGTAATTGTTATTATAATGGTGCTTTATTATAATAAGAAAATGTATGTATGTTAAACTTATTTCGCACCATACCTACCCAACCGTGCTAATAGGAGGTGCAGGTAAAGCTGTCCATTGTAGTGCTGGGAACCCTGTCAGGATTAATTACTGACGTTTGTACAATCAGCATTGACTTTGCACTTGAAAATAGCAGCTGCACCTCTTAAGAGTCACGCTTGCTTCTAAAAGCAGCAGCTGCTCCCACTTGGCAGTTCTTCTTGCATGGATTTTGCTAAATTGCAGAAATTCAGTTGACTCATAGTAGCTGACTTTCCCAGGTGGAATGAAGTTTTATTTATTTATTGCAAAATTGCTTAGCAAAGCTGCGTCATTATTTACGTGATGGCAGCGGACTTGAGAGCCTCAGCCTGTGAAAACCTTTAACGGTTTTGTAGCTACATTTTTAGGTTTAACATTTCGTTTTTTACTATAAAATATGTGAAATGTGATTTATGGCAAGTTGCGTATTTTCTTCTCCATTTTGTGTAATATGAAGACCAAGCTGACAGATTGTGAAAGACATAGTGTGCTTTTTAAAAATAACAGTGAACACTCCAATTCAATGTGGCTGAACATATTGAACATTTTGTACGAAAATTGATCCATATGAACAACATTAAGTGTACTTGCTTTTAATGGTACCACTTTGAAACAGTTTACAGTTTAATGTGTATGGTCTTGGAATTAGTTTTGCGATGTTGCATTCTCGCTAACATGATTTGACTAACGGAGATGTGTGCACTTGACTTTTCATGGAGCTTCGGGGGCTCGAACTCCCCTAACTGGTTATGTTCAAGTTGCGTATCCTTTGTCCCACGCATTTCCCGACCTTTGATGTCGTTTTACTTTGTCTCTCTTTTCT